TTTTTTTTTTGTTAGGAGACCCTAAAGATTCCACCATAAGTTAAACCAATAAGAGAATACTATATTATCCATAATTGAGAGTATTCTTGGGTCGAGGCTTGAGATGTAATTAACCACAAGTTCTTTCGCCCGTAGAGAACCGATACTCACATCACATAAATATCATTCGAACTTATGTATCGAATGAAAAAAATCTCATGATTATTGAATTATGCATATTATTATCCATCGAGATGTGTAGGCAAAAACTGTTATTCTCCATGGATAAACGTATGCATAATTCTATTTGTTCTCTCATTGGACTACTTGCGTAGAGTGTAAATGTCTGCAACAGTCTTATCTTACTACATAGTGTGATTGTATCATTTGCATTCTACCCCCACGAGCAGCATCCTTTCAAAGACTCATAATACATGAGACAAATATCTTCACATTCCACTTTATTCTGCTGGCTAATATCTAAATCCAAACTTGTTTTGCCCATAGGACTTCTTTGTTGATGATGAGATCACCAATGCACTCCTAGGTTGTATTTGGTGCATGGAATCAAAAGGCCTATAATTTGATATTTATGATTTTGTTTATTATTTTTTAAAAATAAATTTTTAATATAAATTATAAAAAGCAAAAAATAAAAAAGAAAAAATCAATAAATAACTGTCACAAATGAAGCTTATATCTATACTTTAGAAGTTTTCTTAGATGAGATGTCAATATGTCAAAAAGATCAAATGTTCCACCAAATTAATATGCTTAGATTTTTTTTTTTAGTCCTCATATAGTTTGAGTTTGACCACGAGATGTGTTATTTATGATGCATTTTCTTGATATTTTCTTCACAATGAAGTTACGATAGGTAAAACTAGTAATTACAAATAACTTGGATCATTTCACATTTTATTAGAGATTATTGCTTGTGAATGGAAAGGGGAAAAAAAATCCCTCATGTAGTAATAGTTTATTGGCTATTCATAATCATTCTTTATTATATCAATATCATATGACTTCGATTTGAAATAATGGACGACTTGTAGGCTCACAGACATCCATAGGAACATTGCACCATCCATATTTCATTGGCCATGCTATTAAATAATAGAGATGTGCCCACATGAGTGTCTTTAGTATAGAGATGCCAATATTTGACACGACCTAAAATTTGATCTAAGCCTGACCCAAAAATTTCAGGTTTATATCAACCTGAACCCCAACTTAGTTCGGATTAGGGATTTTGACCCGCTTGTAAACCAGGTAGAATTCAGGTCGGATTAGATTCAGATTGACCCAAACCACCTCTCCCTCTCCCTCTCCATGAACCTAGCTCCGCCGGCTCCAATGGCAGATTTGTAGGATTTGGCTCATTGGTTGAATAAACACGGCGGTAATTACAAGTCAGGTCGGGTTGACCCAAAATCCGAACTGAGATGAATTCAGGTCTGAAAAACTGACCCATTTCAAAAAACGTGTTGGTTCTGATTGACCTGAATTATGTATGGTTAATTCCGAATTGAACCCGAACCCAACCCATTATCCGATTTTAACAGCCCTACTTAAGTAGTACCTTGATAGTGAAATAAAAAAAAAATAAACAAGCCCACAGTACACGAGCAGTTTGATGAGAAGCAAATCTTAGAGAAGGGAGAGGGCAGGATTTTGTTGAGACTTAACATCCTATGAAGTAACACCATACACAAGGATTTGACCGACCTCGAAGATTTACAATATTGAATGGGTTATTTTATCAAGGATAATTGAGAATATTCATATATAATTTTGATCCCCTACGTTTGCATTATAAAATAGTTGCTGTAATTGAAATTTCATAATAGAGAAAAAAAAATGTATATGAGATAATGCAAATGATTTTTTTTTTTTTTTTAATTTCATCGTTATCATCATAATGAAAACTAAAACAGTTGGAACATGAAATAGTCATCAACTGAGAGAACATGTAAAAAAAATGTTAATGTTTCTGTGCATTTTATTTTCTTCCATTTGTTTGCTCTCAATAATTTAAATTGAGTCGCAAACTAATTTCCAACTCAAATTTCATCACATAAAACAACAAACAGTCCATAAAAAGTAGTTACAAGCTAAGAACCTGGAAGCATGGCCTTCTCTCCACATTCAAGCTCCAGTGGAATTCTATCTTTGGAGGACTTGCTCATGAGCAGTCCAAGTTTTCTACCAAGTTTTTACTATACATCGGTTCATGTGTGGTGCATATATCTAGAACAGCTCCAAGAGTATACACTTTGAAAATGTAACAAAAGTTTAGTGAGATTTATGACAAATCTCAACAAGAGAAATAGCTTCCTTCCCATCAGGTGTTCTTCTCCAGAACAGCAAGAGCTGGTGTAAGATAGTTGTTTGCTTTGTCCGGCAAATGCGCCACCTACACAAAAGAAATCACCAATTAAATACTTTCCGGAAGCCACAAACAGATTCAATCGATTATAACTTGGTTTTAGACTTCATTACCAACTCATAAAGCTCATTGCCCTCCTCTGCGACGTATTCATAGCATACCTGTGTTCAAAACAATCAAATTAGAGAGACAGAGAGAGAGAGAAGAAGCATCCACAATCACATACATCAAAGCTCTTGTTTCTTGCTGTTGAGTCATGCAATGCCTTTACACATATATCAGCTACATCTGCACAGCTAATGCCCTGCAAAAAGTTTGAAAATTGAGTCTCATATACGGTCTTAGACTGAAATGAAACGCTGCTTCGGCCATACCTGAGAAATCCTATTCCCTTGATCAAATATCAATGCTCGTTGACCGCCTGGCTCTTCCTGCAAGAACATTTCAGAGGCTAGAGTTATCCTATTTTTATACAAATTCAAGAAGAAATTTTCCATCTAGGTATTACAATAATATTACATTGCAGTCAACTCCACCCTAATTCCTATCTATCGGAGCATGTAACGTGCATCTACATGTATCTAAACATGAATATGTGCATTGTATGTGATTTTGAAGATAGTTTTCTGCTTGCATGTGTTCACTAAAATTTTTCACGTATGCCCGTCTCTTTCTTTATTTGTTAAGTCATTACATGCGTGCATTGTCATGTTGTATCTATATTTAGGGTTCATTTTGTGCCATCATAATCACCATCAGTAGTTTCATCCCAAATATATGGAGGCGGGTTTATGAATCTTCATTTTGAGGCAAAAATTTTCTGGTAATATTCAAGAAATTTGGCTCTGGAAAATAGCAATTAGGCACATAGAATTTGTGCGAACAAACATTTAGTTATGATTTTCAAAATTTTCAGCTCTTAAAAAACACATTTATTTTGTATCAAACTAAACAGCCTTATAGAATAAGATATTTATTTATTTGGTGATATAACCTTGAACTCGGTTGAATGCACAGTGAATATTAAGTATATTGGAAAAAACAACAAAAAATCTAGAGCTACGTATTTAATGAAGTTATTTAAATACAACAACAACAAACCTTTATCCCAATATGTGGGGTCGACTACATGAATCGTTTTTCTTCATTGTGTCCTGTTAAGGGTCAAATTCTCATCTAAATCTAATAAAGAAATGTCATTTCTAATATTTTCAAATCAAATCTTTTTAGTTCTAGTTCTACCGTTCTTAACATAAGTCAAATCTTATACATCCACTTTCCTAACAGGGTCATCGGAAGGTTGCCATTTTATGTGACCAAACCATCTAAGGCGATCTCTCTTAATCTTATCTTCTACTGAAGCTACTCCAACATTTTCACGTATATACTCATTTTGTATCTTGTCTTGAAGAGTAAAGCCACTCATCCACCTTAGCATGCTCATCTCTACAACACTTAACTTAATATTATGCTTCTCTTTTAATGGACAACATTCTGCACCATAAAGAATTGCAGCTCTCACTACCGTTTTATAGAATTTTTTCATAAATTTGAGAACGACTTTTCTATCACACAACAAGCCCGATGCATTCCTCCACTTCAACCATCTAACTTGAATTCTACTACTAATATCCCCATCTGTTTCACCATCACTTTGAACAATACACCTAAGATATCTAAAATGTGTGCTCTTATTAATGACTTGATCGCCCAAAGTCACAATCCCCCTACTAGATCTATTATTACTAAAATTACACTTCATATATTCAGTTTTAGATTAACTCAAATGAAAGCCTTTAGACTCTAAGGTTGACCTCTATAATTCAAGTTTATCTTCAACTCCCTCTCTAGTATTATCAACAAGAAGAATGTCATCAGCAAAAAGCATACACTAGTGTACAACCTCTTGCAAATGTCTAGTGAGAACATTCATGACTAAAGCAAAAAGATATTAGCTTAAGGTTGATCCGTGATGTAATCCAACAGAAATAGGAAAATACTTGATTAAACCACCTTGTGTTTGAACACAAGTAACAGCTCTTGCATACATATCCTTAATAACTTGAATATAAGCATTAGTAATCCCTTTCTTATCTAGAACTCTCCATACCACTTCACTTGAAACTTTATCATATGCTATATCTAAATCAATAAAAAGTATATGTAGATCCTCTTTATTCTCTAAACTTCTCCATCAAACCTCTTAATAAATATATAATTTTCATAGTAGACCTACCTAGCATGAATCCAAATTGATTTTAAAAAACATTAGTATCATGCAGCAACCTATGCTCCATAACTCTCTCCCATAGTTTTAAAGTATGACACATCAACTTAATTTCTCTATAGTTCGCACAATCTTGTGCATCACCTTCATTCTTAAAAATAGGAATCAACACACTCATTCTCCACTCATCTGACATCTTTTTAGTCTTCAAAATAATTGATGCAGGACTACTTAGATGAGATGATTATGGGATCATTTAGTCATTGCACAACTCGTGATTAGAATAATATTAGAACAAAATTAATAGCAATTCTAAAACGAAGAATCAAAACAAGGAGATATTTGCTTAGGTTGCAATGAGGTACGCTCAAATAAGAATTAGGATGCAATGAGGTACGCTCAAATCCTACAGTAACTAAGCTTAAGCGAGAGCAATTGGAAGAGTCCGTCGTGACTGCAATCAAACCAACGAAAATTTAGACTAAAAGGAATAAGATGCTCGGGAGAGAAGAAACCTTCGTCAAGGGTTGGTAGAGATCCTCCATTCAATGCCTTAAAAATGTTCGTCGATAGCCTCGACCAAGTATATAATGTACACTCCAAATAATCCTTGACGGTGAAATCAACTGTTGGGTTCACGTCGAAGAACGTAGATTGTAGGGTATCTACGTAGCCGTCTTCGTCCCAAGTTATGCCGTAATTAGTGTCTGGATCCGCCATTCATAGGAACTAATGGTTGAAATCTCTCCACGGTAGCGAATGCTCTTGAAGATTATCAAGGACAAAGACACAAGAAGCTTTCTTCAATATGTGATGAAGAAACAATCTCAGATTTCCTTCCCAAAATCTGAGAGAAATCTCAGATTTTTATGTTTAGGAAATAGAGATAGAAGAGGGAGAAATAAAGCTTAGAACTCAGGTGGGGGAATTAAGGAGGGAGAGAGAATTCGACAGAGAAAGGGGGAGACGGGTATGGGGAGAGAGAAGGGTAAGGGGGCGGCTATGAAGAGGGGAAAAGGAAAAGAATTAAATATATTTCCAAAAGTGAAATTACTACTTTGGAAATAAATTAATCCAAGCAAGGTGAGTGGAAATTTCGGTCAAGAGGGATTTATGGGGATTTGAAATTATTTCCTAAGTGAGGGATGGGTTTAGGAAATAATTAAAGGAGATTTAATGGGATAGGGAGAGAGGGCCGGCGGCATCCAAGGGAGAGAGGGGATTGAGAGCAATTAATTGGGGTTCCTATTTTTGGATATAGGAATAAGGAAAGTTTTATACTTCATCCAATTTAAATTTTAAATTCAATAGGATGAGTTAAGAAACTTTCCTTAAATAGAGAAGTTAAATTAGGAAAGATTTTGAATTCAAATTTCAATGAATTTGAATTTCAAAATTATCCTAAAGTAATCTTCAACCCAATTAGGAAAATCAAGGGAGAAGGGAAGTGGAGTATGGCCGGCGGCTATGGGGCTATGGCCGGCGGCAAGGAAGGGCTTCGGGCAAGGTGAGGCCGTGGGGTTTGGGGGAGGAGGAGGGGTCGGGTGAGGTGGCCGGTGGCTTGAGGTGGAGGGTGGGGGAAGTTCGACGAGGGGAAGATGAAAAGACAAAGAAGAAAACCACGAACCCGGCCGTATCCAAGGTTGGTGGGTGATCCGATTTCCCTCTCCTAGGAATCTCTCTAATGTTCTCTCCAAAAACTCTCAAACGCTCTCACAACACAAGAGTAGAAGAAATATCATAATAATCATTCATTAACTTCAAATAGAACAAAGGTGGGCTTTAAATAGCCTCATACAACTGACTCAAAACAAAAGACACAAATGCCCTTTGGGCTTACATACGACAACTCCCATAAGAGGGGTACAACGGGAAATAATAAAACCACATAAGCAAATAACAAAATACATGAAAATAAAAATACATCAGTGACTCAAAAATATAAAGACTCGATCGTGGCCGTAGATCGGCGGCCACGTCTCTGATAAACTTTCCATGATGATCTGATGTCCCCATCAATATTATTAAAAAGTTTAGTAAGCCAAGAAATTCCATCATCTCCTAAGTATTTTCACACCTATATTGAAATATCATCAGGTCCAACAGCTTTTTCACACTTCTTTTTTTTTTTAAGTCTTTTAAATTCGGTTTTACTAATACACAGGTAAAAATAAAATAACTTTATTTTTCATTTAGGGTGCTAAGGTCACTAAAGTCAGTCGCATTCTCATAATCTTCATTAAAAAGTTTAACAAAATATCTCATCCACCTTTGTTGAATATCCTCTTCTAATAAAAACACTTTTGACATTCATCCTTAATACACTTTACTTGAACTAAATCGTTACTAGTCCTATCTCTTTGTTTAGCTAATTTATACATATATCTTTCACCCTCAGTTTATAATCTATTATATAAATCATTAAAAGTTAAAATCTTTGCATTGCAAATTGCTTTCTTAAACTCCTTACGCTGATGGCTACTATATTCTAGTAGCATTAGAGTAGTTAAAAAGAGAGATTTTTAAGATTTTTATCATTTGACATAGATTTTGAAAAGTAATATCTATTTTTTATTCACTAAATGGAATCAACATAATGTTCATTGTGGAGCATGATTGCACCTGCAAGGGACCCGGGCGAATGATCGTGTAGCCAAGGCCTGATCTTCTTAGCGAATCTTCCCCGGCCTAGTAAAGAAAAGAAATGTACAATGAAGGAATTTGGTTTAAGTAGGGTTTACAATTAGCAGCTTGTAATATACAGTTTGGCAAGCAAGAAACTACCTTCTTGGCTTTTAGCACCTGATCCTTTCTACTGGATTCAATCCCAGATCCAGTACATGATACCAAGATAAAATCAGTTTCTCTTCCAGTCTTCAACATTCAAAAAATAATAATAATATTCACGGGTGTTAGGATAAGAAAATTTATATCTTATTGTAAGAAAATATTCTTACGATAACAAACTGTACTGATTACAAATAAGCAGTAAGAAAGCTCCCTTGTCGGAATATATATGAGGATGAAATGATCAACCGTCAATACATTCAGCCAGTTGGTTAGGCAGGTTAACCAAAGAAAAAGAGCTCATAAAGCAATGGGGCGTAATTACAGTGAATCAGCTAGGTGGTGAAAGATAGAGGTGGATCAAATGTGATCTAGATCGTCAAAGACGATGAAGTAATCTGGCTGAAGATGCTGATGGATAGGAAAGGGAAATTTAATTATTCCAAAAAAAAAGAACCAGATATTTTTTGCAGATACATAATTGCAGTATTAAAGTTGATTACGTAGAGTCTCTTAGCATTGTAATACTCTATACAAATGAAGTGGACCTTCTCCTACCTAGAACCTTTTGGAGTTCTGATGACTGTATGTTTTTGCTAAAACCATATAAATGAGAATGCTTAAAGATCAAATTTCAGTTGTTCAGCCAAGTTTACAGCAATTACGATAAGGACTGTGGGTGCATGTAACACAAATTGCCATAACCCCCAATGTTCCTTTTATCATTATGCAAATATAGCTGAAGCAAGGTTGGATGAAATCAGGAGCAACATACGGGTAAGGCCTTTATATATTCCAATATCAGCTTGAAGCTCCTAGGATCCTGTGTCATTCCTGTAGGTCCTTCAGGAGGTCTCTACAGAGAGAATATTATCAATAAAGAGGTCAAAAAGACATCCGGTGATTTTTACTACAGAAAATCACGAGTTTGAAGAACTGATCAACCTGTCTTCTTGGTTCAAATCGAATTGTAAAAGTATGTACTAGGAAAGGATCTAGCGGAGGATCATCTGGTTTAACAGGTCGAAAAGATGAAAAGGGTATTCTCACCTGAAAAAGACAGCTCATAACTATTAGATATACTTGCTGAAAAGAAATAGGATGGATTAAATTGCATGCCAACACTTGAACGGTACCTACCCTGCAGAAGCCCACTTTTGTGCTCATTCTAGCAAAATATAATTTGCTTTGGGAGGTATCAGCCAATGGGCCAGACTCTAGAATTACAATAAATGACCTTCCATTTCCACCAATAGAGAGAAGTAGACCGTCATATCTGCAAATTTAATATCCACAACCGTGAGAACCGATAAAAAATATATGCCATCGTCCGCCAATCAAGCCAGATAATATATTACATTGAATTTCTGACGATAAAGTCAATACCTATCCAGGGTGGAGCCCAAAGGCAAGGAGAGTCTCTTGGAAAGCTCGACATATCCACCTCTTGTAAATACATATCCTGCAATGGATAAAAAGCAGGGCATTTATACCAGGAATGCTCAACAACATCCTTGGAACTGAAGAAATACTCTATATGACTGACTGCTCCGAAATTATATCTTAAGGCTTTCGAGAATGTTCATAATTTGATATTAACACCCAACAACGGAAAGAAATTAAGTATTTGACATTGGGTTATAACGTTCTGTGATGCAAAGAAATTAGATCTACTCCCTTTCTTAAAAAATTTTCTCATTCTGAGCTTGGGGAAATTTTCTGAGCATAAATATTTGCATCATCCTAGATTGCACAAATCGCTAGCAAGGCACTAGATAAAATAGCATTTTAGGAATCAACGTAAGGGACACAAATCTTTAATCGCTAAGTACCTTCTTTTTAGTCCAACGCTGAAGGAAATAGTAGGTAAATCACCAAATATTCCTAAGAGAGAAGAAAACTTAATGAACAGAGAGATGTGTGCTCATACCTGAAAACACAGCTTCTCCCGTTTCAATAAATTCCAACTTTGCATCCATTCCTCCATCATATTTCGCAGCAAGAACATCCTGAAAGTAAGTTCCTTGGCGAACTTCCCACCCATCTAAAGATTTAGAAGATTTGAATTTAGCTAGCAAAAGTTTGCTCTTACTGCTTTTTCCCGCCCTTAATTGTGCTAATTTATTGTTATAATCCTGAACATCAAATTGCATAATTAGCACCTTATTCAAACTATGTATATAGTGCATTGATACAAAACTAGGCATACTAACCATAAGTAGTTAGGATAAAGTTAGTAGTGATGATGATGATGATGCAATGCTCGGTTAAAAACACTGAAAGTAAAAGCAAAACAAGTACAGAGGTTCTTGAATTAACATGCCTGAAATGCCTTGGTGACATTGTATACTCCTCGATAGTCCACTCTGTAGAGGTCTGCAGTTATAAGAGAGCGAGCCGTGGCACAGTAAATGATCTTGTTGCATCCTTCTATTGCAGTCTTCAAAGTTGAAGGTTCACCCACATCACCAAGTACAATGTTTACTGATCTAGGAAGCATATCTATCACTTCTGAATCAGCTTTCCTTACCAAAGCCTGAATTGTTCACCTCAACTTAATAAATTATCAAATAAGCTAAAAGTATTTGGCACAAAATCTTTATAGGCTAAAAGTTGAATAATTTGAAATGGCATATAGTTGATTGATTTCAAAAAAAGGAGATTTTAAAGAGCATTGACAAGAAACTGTAATCTGAATTTTCAGGTTCTCATAAACAAAAAAGTATATCAGATATGGATCAGGATCACTATTCGTTAAAAAAGTCTCAATCTCAATTGGTCACGCCAATTATTAGATGTTAATTCTGTGCGGAATATGATTGTGTCGATCAATTGGGTTGTATTATTGACTCATACCTCAATTTCATTGGTCAAGCTCGCCAAGGGTTGCAATGGACCTTGCCACATAAATTTTTTTCTTTGTGTAGTCATACAACGCCAAGACGTTGTACATTAGAGCGCTAGAGCGTTGTACACTTCTGCACCGCAGCGTCATAGAATGCAATGCAACGACACTATAGTTTTAACTTGTAAACATAAAACGGAGCATTGAGGCTCTCTAGAACCAGCACTATGAGTTGGGATGGAGACAAAGAGTGGAGCACCGCAGAGCTCCCAACCCAGGCGCTATGGCACTGCAAGTCAGGCTGAGCATTTTCTTTCTCATTTTTCATGTTTAACTTGAAAGTTTGTGATCTTTAATATTGTAGAAGTGTAGCTTTGTTAATTCTGAGAAAGAACGGTATGAAGAAGTGATGTGAGTCAAGGAGAGAGATTTGTACAATTTATGCAAATTTTCATAGTTAATTTCTTGGTGTGGTGTGGTGTGGTTTCGTGGTTTTTCCCAAATTTTGGGTATTACCATGTTAAATCTTGTTGTTCATTTTCGTTGTTTTCTTTTCTTATTTGTTTTATTGTGTGATTTACTTCCCAACATTGGATACCCAATGGCGAAAAGGAATTGACATTATATGCATAAGCCAAAAGCTGACTAACTTGTCATGGCATGGGGTGGGCTTCTTGAAACTGAGGTCTGAATTTCAGGTTCCAACAAATGCAAGATTCACAATGAACTAAATGTATGCTACGAATGATAAGAACCTGGGTTACCTACCTTAAAACAGTTAATTGTTTCAATGGATTTACCATACACCCAAGTAATTTAGAAAAAAACAGTTTAATATATGAGAAGTGTTATCTAGAATCATATGAATAAGAAGTGTACATGAAGCTCCCCAAATCATATGAATAAGAAGAGTGTATATGAAGCTCCCCCATTGCACAATCAGAGAAGGGGATGAAGGAAAACAGTCTTACATCTACACTTATAGAACGGCTGCTTCGTGATTCAAATCTAGGACTTCCAGATTATAATGGAAGCACTTAACCGCTGCTTGATATTACATAGAATCTCATAAGACCAGGACAAACAGAATTAACTCCACAGATCATAGCAACATGCCACAATTTAAGTAACTCTGTTACATATAATAGAAAAAGAGATAAATAATCAAAATTGTCCCTTGACTCTTTATAAAGAATCAAAATGGTCTCCAACTATGTGAAAGTCACAACTGTAATCTCTGAACTTGGACCGCCAGTCCAAGTCTTATTTGCAAATCGAACCAATTGAGCCCCCTCCACCCCTGTTGCGCACAAACCAAGCAAGCTCCTTCACCTCTTTTGCACGCAAGCGGGCCCTTTGAACCGAGTGGTTTGCCGCCAAATAGAACCACTACATTATGGTTATGGCCAGAGCCCATACGCTCCCCAATGGTACTAAATCTTTGAGATATGAATCAATAGGATATAATCGATAGGGCAAGCTCTCTGTTAGCTAAGGTGGATTCAAATTTGCCTCCTCAGGCAAATACTCCTCCTAGGTCTATAAGGTTCCCCTGGACGAAGCAACCTATGGCTGCCGACAATGAACCTTCTGTCAAGTTGGGTCGACTACCTCCTCCGAATAAGTAGACTAGGGACCATGATGGCCCGGGACGATGGAACCATGGGATCTTGATTGGGTCCATCATCCATTCCACCACCATCCGCTTTAAGTGCAAGATGATGAAATTTCTATTTTAAATATCAAATCCCAAATTCCGTATACCCATGTTGCTACTATGTGCCAAATACTACATATTTCTACGTAACTGATTGATGACTAGCCTTAATTGAAAGTTCTCTCTCGTTATCGGGAGGGGCAATTAACTATAGGGGCTTGCCCCTATAAGACCAGAACTCGGATTATAAAGTCTCGCAAAATGAGGGCGAAATCTCTAGTAGTGTCTTATCTACAAACTCAATCTGCCTTCCTAAAATTTACCCATAACATAAACCATTAAAACTCCCCGAAAAACAACTGGGATCTCAGAGCGCGAATTTTCGGAGCCCAAAACAACGTCAAGATAGCACTCCACTAATTGTCTCCTTTCTTTAATCTATAATTCACAAAAGTTTTTATTTTTCACCCTTTAATATCCAATACCCCTATATTTAAACAGCTAGAACCCTTCTAATTTCACCTTTTTAATTAACAGTTGCTCCAAGAACAGCTCCTTAGCATTTTTCTCGAACATCGCGGCTCTCACACTACATGCATATCGTGCAAGCTTCTGTTTCTCAACTGATTTTCTATTTAAAGGAGTTTATGGAGGTGTTTGTAAAATATAAATCAAGTTTAAATTTTGATTTGACAAATTTTGGAAATAACTTTTAAAACTAAATCTATCACTAAAAGTGAAAGATAATTGGTAATTAATCTGAAATCACATAATTTAAATTTTGTGCTAATCAAACAAATTAAGTCAATTTTGTAAAATTTGGCTTTTTTTACTTGATAACTTGGATGTTCTCAATTTTAGTAGGAACATGAAGGGTTGAGATTTGTACTGTATATTTATTTGATTGAAAGGATATCGTTGATGTTTATATCTTAAAAGAAAAATCTTTTTATAATATGTAAATTAATGGAATAAATTCCCATGAATAGCACAGGGCATGATTCTACCTTTATACCATTAGCAATTCTTTCTAAGTCTCGAAAATATAATCCCTTGACTATTTAAGATAAGAATTAAAAAATTAAAAAAAAAAAAAAAAAAAAAAAAAATAGCCAGGGGGGTCAGCGGTGGGGGGGGACAACTTATACTGTATATTTGTTTGATTGAAAGGATATCGTTGATGTTTATATCTTAAAAGAAAAATCTTTTCATAATATGTAAATTAATGGAATAAATTCCCACGAATAGCACAGGGCATGATTCTACCTTTATACCATTAGCAATTCTTTCTAAGTCTCGAAAATATAATCTCTTGACTATTTAAGATAAGAATTTAAAAAAAAAAAAACTATTCATCTTGCCAGGGCTGTTTGCACACTTGATTGTCCCTCGCAAAACAAATGTAAGAAGTCTCGCTGCCACAGCTTCAGTGTTGCATCAATCAAAATATGTTTCTAATGTTTTTTTATCCATTCTCTAATACGTTTCAAAACAACAAGTAAAAGAAAGGAAGTAAGAACAAGAAACAGTGGCATTTTGATAACTAATTTACCTTAACTTTGTAGCCTCTAAGCATCAGCTTTCGGACAAGGATCCTACCGATTCTACTCGTGGCTCCGACCACCAGCACGGTGGTGTCCTGCGCTTCCGGGATAGTAAACTCACACATGGGCCCGCGGATCAAGACGCTGTCCAGCAGATCCTCGTCGGTGGAGGTCGTTGAGAGCTGCCCTAGGCCTGAGAACTTTTTCCACACCTGATCAAAAATCTGTCGCGATCTCCTCCCCAACCCCACCGGATTTACATCATCCAGACTAAGCGACACCTGCTTGCTACCCGAACCCTCCGCAACTAGATCAACTGCTTCTTTGGGCGATGGCACATCTTCCTTTTTCGCCTCCTTGTTCTGCTTCTTTGCACCAATTTTACCTCCTCTCTTCCCTTTTTCTCCGCCATCGCCGTCGCTCAACTTGCTTATTGGCACCGAGAGAGAGAAGCATCGAGAGGTGGATGTAAAATTGTTGGTATTGGCAGGGGAGAGGCCAAGGAACCTTGTTCTTGTGAACAAAACATTCGAAGATGCAGCAGCAGCAATGCGTCCGCCGTGCAGGACCATCACGCTGGCGAACCGTTAGATGAAAAGGCGCAGATCGAATTGGGAATTAGAAGAGAGCTCGACGAATGAGGGGAAGAGCTATTGGTAGCGATCTCCCTTTGCGTTGTCCTTCTGAACTGTTTTAAATCTGGTGCCCGTAGGGAAGCTGGGAGCTTAGTGGCCATGACCCTAATTCCAGCCACAAAATGGAGAAGAAGAGAGAAGACGGGGGGATTAGAGAGCGACAGCGGACTTTTGTCTGGATAAGAAGCGGGGGGAGAGCGAAGTGGAGGTGGAAATGGAATGGGCCCAATGGCTGCGTCACAGACCACACTCAAGCCGGAACACCAGCGTACGACACGTGGCTTCTTCAAACTCACAAGTGCTTGCTAGAAGGCTACAGTCGACGTGGCATTGATAAAAATTTGTAGCATTTTCTTGTTCAATTTCTTAGAATTTTTTTCTTTTTTTATTCCTTTATACTATTCTTATTTAAAACTAATTTAAATTTAATATTTTACCACGTAACAATTTCTGATATTAATATATTTTATAATATGTTTTTCATAAGTTTTAGATGTTGATAATATTCTGATTTAATGAAATTCAACAACTATTAATAATACTCGTAGATAATTTATTAATAATAATATGCATGCTTGTTGCGGGCTAGAACATATGCGGCGATTGAGTTAGATTTTTTCATCTCAGCGTTGTACGGATTTCTATCACACAAACAGAAAAGATATAAAACACAATGATTTTTACGTAGAAAGCTTTGGACAGGGAAAAATCATAGGTGTCACACCCAGTTAAAAGAATTCAACTAGTATTTGCTTGTGTTAAAAGAGGCTGACTCGTCCTTAAAATTTAGGATGATCAGTACAATAATCAAGTCACCGGTAGAAATTTAGTTGCAAACATATATTAGAATGCTGGTATCAGAAAATTGGTGTCTGTTATTTGTTAGAGAGAGTTTTAATGTTATTTGGAGGTCGGACGGAACTCCGATGTCACTTGAAAGTGGGGCGGAACTCTGGCGTCACTTGAAAGTCGGGTGGAACTCCGGCGTCACTTGAAAGTCGGGTGGAACTCCGACGTCACTTGAAAGTCAGGCGGAACTCCGAAGTCACTTAAAAGTCGGGTGGAACTCCGATGGTGGTCGAGGAGGAGTTTCTTCCCTCCTCTTCTTCTCTTCTCCTCTCTTCTTACTTAGGTTCACTCTTAAGAGAAAAGCGGGACTATTTATAATTTTCTAAGAATGACATGACCCGTAAATAGGAGGAGGATCAAGGGCAAATGTGGAGTGGTTTGGATGAACGGTCGATATTCAGTCTCTTGATCGTGGATCATGCATCAGACATTTGAAAGTCTTAGTGATATTGGAATTCGGCGCTCTTGAGCTCGTTGGATTCGTCTCGTTGATCCGCTCGATTTGAGACTATAAGCATGTCATGTTTTGAAACAGTTTGGTAATCCAAATTGTGGTTTGAACCTTCCAACAGCACTTCGGGTCTTCGATTCAGACCTATTTAGGCTTGGATTAAGTTGAATTTGGTGTCGTTGGCTTCGTATTTCCGAGACGCTCAGTTTGACTTAAGTTTGTTGAAATTGAAGTTCAGATGTTGTCAGATTTAATTTTTGAAGTTTCCAACTTGATTTTTGCCTCGAGATTCATGCCCTATCAAAATAATTTTTTGATGATATAACAATGCTAGAAAAAAAATAAAGAAAAAAAAAGATTTAAAAATATACACTATTTGACATATATAGATATTATTTTAAAAAGATAATTATTTTTTTTTTCTTTAAAAACTTTAAATGTTACACATATCCATTTATATTAACCCAATTTTATAATAAGAAAATTTTGTTACATATTTAATCAAGAATAAATTTAAAGAGGGCACATGCACTTATCTTTATTAAATTTTTAATATATGTAAATTTTGGCATCCCTGCTTTTAACACTTGACCCGTTAGGAGTTTAGGGTCAAGGCCAATGATATAGAATGGTTAGTATAATAGTTTACATTTGGGAGGTTTAGTTGATCAGTCAGAGTTGAATAATTAACTATTGTGAAGTCGACTTGTCTATCATGAGACAAAAGTTATGTAGACAAGCCATAGTTAGATTAGCATCTCGCAAGTTAGGACAAATTTTTCTAGTCGCCTGACCTGACTAAGTTCAGGAGCTAGATAATGAAGATCGGGCACACCGGCATGCTCATGTAAATTAAGTAGCTACATAATAGATAACTTTCATGCATTCATTTGGATGAAAAGAGGGTGGTGTGATTAGAAGTCGCAGATGTATTCCTTGTAGGATGGAATTGTGAACGAGATACCAACTAGTACAAGTCGAGCAAACAGGAATGTAACATAATTGCTCTATCTCACAACAATACCCTTCTGAAGAGGAATTTATTAACAAAACATTTTTGTTGATTTCTATCAAATTTGCTCAAGATGCAATTGAATATTTCAAAATTGTTCCTACTCATTTGAATTTTTAAATTTTGATTTGTCACGACCATCATTGGCAGCAGCCATAAACCAACTATGATTAGCTTAGGTGTGAGTGAACCAATTGGGTAAGTGTTATAACCCGAACCAATTCCCTCCTGGTTCAGGATTTCTTGCAAATGAAAGCCAAAGCCTCACGAACAGACACTCCTCCCACACCTTCTTCGCCCAGACCGTGATAAGTCACCATTTCGTGCCTCGCCTCTCTTTTCAATCTCTCCAATAACGCAATCCATGTGAACATCAAATGAACAATCATACCGGGGATTACAATGCAGAGCCCTACATTGGGTACCCATATCCACACCCACCCATGTACCCACCCATACCCAAGGGGTATGGGTGGGTATGGGTACGCTCATGACCTTGTGGGTGGGTATGAGTGGATACTCAACATCGGTGGATAAATTGATTTACAATATTAATTACCGTATATCTTATATTAATGCAATCCTCACTGCGTAGTGTGCAGCACTTAACAACGTTGCGACTACGATAAATTCTGATATGTGGCTTGAAAGTTTGCAATCATAACAAAGGGCAACAAGCCTCAAGGTCATTAGTCCATGACAAATTGCGTTCAAAAAGTATGGAAAGTGGGTGGGTATAGGTGGGTACGACATCCTGAAAGTCACCATGGGTGGGCGTGGGTGGGCGAAGCCCATTCGAGTACAGCATAGGTACCCAATCAGGACCCCATGTAGGGCTTTGTTACAATGAGGTAAGCCACCTACAAACTTAGTAATATTTTTTTGGATAAGGGGAAAATCAGTAACATAATCAGCAACCCAAAGGCATGAAAAAAAAAAAAACTTTAGAAACATAAGGTCGTGGATCGCATAAATTTTGCAATGTTATAACTTGTGAACTAGAAATAAAAAAAGGATCAAATTACAACTTGTCTTTCTTACTATTTGATATGACTCACATATTGATATTATAATTTTATTTGGATACAATTTTTTAAAATTTCTATAATGAGAATAAGATTTTCATAAGAAAGATGCATCTCAACATTTTTTTAAATCTATAATACTCAGAGTTACAACAATTTTACTATAAAAACAAAAGTATAATGATAAACTGATAACACCAGGAGCTGACCACGCAGCAAAGTTGAGATTTTTAAGGACCGTCGTCTCCATCTTTGATCAGATTGCAAATGTCTGAGCATTCCACCAGGCTAATCAAATAAAAATAATTTGAAAAGAATCTTCGTGTTTAATCATGGCATATGGAAAAAAATATGCTGAAGAAAATTTCTACCAGTAATGGCGGCTTCTAAATCCTTTCTTGAAAACAACCAGAGGCCTGCAGTTGCAATGCATAAAAGTGTTTAGATAGCACAGATGGAGTAAAAGAGATTTACAGGAATTTTCCTAAATAAGGAGGGTGGATGTCGAAATTCACCTCCTGATATTAAGGATGCCTTCACCGGCACCGCCTCTGACGCAAGTGCCAACGCACTTAGCAGTACAAGACTCGGCCTTTTTGGAGCGCGGCCGCTGAATTCGCGTTTGCCTCGCGTCCTCCCCTGCGCGGACCAAGTGTTCGATGAAATGCTGCAAAAGTAAGGAGGAGATCGAAGGTGTCTCCATATAAAGAAGCTTGTGAGTATTTTTCTTACCGGAAAGCGTTTGGGGGATATTGGCTAGGGTTTCTTCTGGTGGAACGGGGGAAGAGAAGAGAACGGCGGCCGCGAGGAAAGCCGGCAAGCAGCTGCAGTTTGCCCTTTTGGCTGTTGATGGGAGATTGTTGATCGAGCTGAGATTATGCTGGGAGCGATGGAGAAATGGCGTCGAAGAAGGTGAGTTAAAGACTCCAAAGCATCTTAGAGTTTCCATCCTACACCTCTCTCACCTGCGATTCTCCATCCCTTATCTTCTCATCTTTTTTTCTTTTTTTTTTTTCTCTCTCTCTCTCTATTCTTTAGTTTGTGGGCATTTCTATCATTTAAAATTACATAAATCAATTATTCATCAAATAATACTTTTTTATATCTATTAGATTAGTGATTGCCATCTATTAAATCCAACTTGGTGTGATTTGTTAAATGATAGGAGTGATATTGAGTTTCCATGTTAATAAGAACTAATTATCCAAAATTAATTATTTGTCATCCCACCTAGCATAATTATAATCAAATCTATTAAATATCATTAAATAAGATAATGTTAAAGCCTAATATACTAAACTTAGGATAAAATCACAATCCAATCTATTAAGCCTTATGTTCACAAATATTTTGACTTCGTCATCAAAATAAGTAAAGATATGATGTGCATCTTATCTTTCACATTAGTAAACTGTTTATTCATGATATATCATCAAAAAATTATCTTGAACGACATGAATCTCGAGGCCAAAATCGAATTGAAAACTTCAAAAATTAAATTTGGGATAATCTAAACTCCGATTTCAGCAAACTTATAGTCGAACTGATCGTCTCGGAAAGACAAACCCAACGACACCAAATTCAACACGATCTGAGCCCAAATGGGTCCAAATCGATGACTCAAAGCACATTCGGAAGGTTCAATCCATAATTTGGGTTACCAAACGGCTTCCAAAAATGACATGCTTATAATCGTATCGAGCGGCTCGACGAGACAAAACCAACGAGCCCAGGATCTCTGAATTACAACATCATTAAGGCCTTCAAATGCCTGAAGAACGGTCCTTGATCGAAGGATTCAATATCGGCCGTCCATCCGACCACTCTCTATTTACCCCTGATCTCTCACCTATTTACAAGCCATGCCACTCCATAATATATATAAATAGACCCCTCATTTCTCATGAGAGGGGGACCCAAGCAAGAAGGAGAAGAAGAGGAGAAGAGAAGAATAGGAGGGAAGAGACTCCTTGACCACCGCCGGAGTTTCGCCCGAACTCCAAATGACGCCGGAATTCTGTCTGACTTCCATGGGACACTGAAATTCTGCCCAAGTAACGACAGAGATCCCCCTAACGTCGAAACTCCACCCAAATGATACCGGAGTTCTCCTCGGCCTCCAACAGACGTCGGACTTCTACCCGATGCCAGACCTTCACTCTTCGTCAAGTTTCTATCCATTGCCGAACTTCTACCGGTTATCAGACTTTAGCTGTACATCTATCCGAAGATGGGTTCTTTCCATTGTTGCATTTCTACCTGACGCCGTCCTTCTGACCTTCGTCGTCAAATAACAGTCCTTCCAACCTCCGTCGTCAGCCGACTACGATCCTTCTAACTTACATCGCCCGTTGACTACAATCTTTCTGACCTCCGTCGCCCGCCAACTACGGTCCTCCTGACTTTTGTCGTCCGCTAACTAAAGTCTTTCCGACCTCCATCGCCCGCCGACTACGGTCCTGACTTACGTCGCCCACCGACTACAGTCCCTCCGACCTCCGTCGCTAGCCCACTACGGTCCTTCTTACTTATGTCGTCCGTCGACTACAGTCTTTCCGACCTCCGTCGCCAGCCGACTACGGTCCTCCTGACTTACGTCGCTCGCCGACTAAAGTCTTTCCGACCTGCGTCGCCCAGCCGAATACGATCTTCCTGACTTACGTCACCCGCCAACTATAGTCCTTCCGACCTCCATCGCAAGCCGACTACGGTCCTCCTGACTTACGTCGTCCGCATACTACAGTTTTTCTGACCTCCGTCACCAGACTATGGTCCTCCCGACCAAACGAACACGTCAATAGTGACTCTTTGTATTCACATCATGTAATGTACTCTATAAAATGTACATCAAGCTAAGGCCTTCTCCTAAGGAAGGGCCTCATTTGTAATCAACAGCTATATTAGTGGATTCATTCGAACTGGGCTAGGCTCCGTGGTTTTTTCCCCTTTTTAGGGGTTTTCCACGTAAAAATCTTAGTGTCTCATAAATACTAGACCCTCTCCCTATGTGTATGCGTACCGGATTTTCGTACAATGCTAAGACGCTAAACTTTATATTTCTCTACCGCCGCGAATACTCCTATACGCAACAATTAACAATATCAATTTTATGATAATAAAAGAAATAACCAAATTCTTTTTTAGATTTAGGTGCATAAACTTTAAGATTTTTTTGAGTTTGCTCAAATTTTTTTTTAAAATATTTTGGTTGTGAACACTTTAAGAAAAGAGGCATAGAGCCATTAATATTATCTATTACTATAACGATAACAATGATTCTCAATCAAACTCTTATAGCTTAAAAGTATTTGAATTGCTTCGTAAACTCAAATAAAATATAAAAAAAGTCAATTTTTACTAGTCTAAATGATAGAATGATGACTTCTCATGAAAATTCCACCATAAACTTAAAAACTTCCTAACTTCATTTTTGTGCACTTTGAGAAAATTAAATTTCAAACTCACACTATATTTGCAAGTCATGAATCAAATACCTCTTGATTGGATCCTAGGCTCTCAACGATCAAACTGTGATTGGCTACATAACACCATTTTTGAAAATCTAATTTCGGCAAAGAGAATATTTCGGATGATACGTCTTACATGTTAGTCATTATTATATAATTTTGTTTGGACATAAATTAACTTCATTATATCATTTAGAGTTAGATTGGAGCAGCTTCTAGCCGTTGCTTTTTCGTTGCTTTCAAGAAAATTTTATACTATAAAATTGTTTTAGAAAACAGTAAGAAAAACATCTCAACTGAACCCTTAAGCTTTAGATTTTAAAATTTAAAAATTTCATTGAGACAAATAAAACCAAAGAGACCAAAGTAAATCATATTAAAACAATATATATAATTTGAACATATTATTTAAGCATGTTTATCAAATTTTAAGCACTCAAAAGCCCTTAAGATTTCCTAAGTCCATAGGCTTAAACCATGCGGCCCAACAGAAACCCACCAAACTCCATTGTCACATTTTTAATCACAATCACAAGGTGCGACTCTCACCCCCTTCCTACCTATAACCAAATTCAAAATATATATACTTTTAGAAAATTTATTTGAAATTTTATAGCACATAAATATTTGATCAATAAAATTTCTTTTTTTTTTTAATAAAAATGCTTATAATCTGTCAACATTTATTAACTCATTTATAAAATTGTTCTTATCTTAAAAAAAAAAAAAAAATAGACACTATTTTATTGTGGATTTTACAATAAATAATTTTATAAAATTATATTTTATTAATAAAATCATATTTTATGATAATCATTCTATTGACTATAGATAAATACTAAATAGTATAATGTATAACTAATTTATCATAAATGTAATAATAAATATAATTGTTATTTTTATATTATCTATAAATGAAAATCATATAAATTTATTTCATTATGTAATATTATTACATAAATGCCCCTCTTACAATATTTTTTCCATTATATATAATCATAAGCCCCTCAGTTCTGCCCACAGGCAAAAATGGGAGAAGTAGCAATGGAGGCAGAGGAGCACATTTTCCGAAGCAAGCACCCCTCAGTGCCAGTGCCCGAGAGCCTGACCCTGCCGGGATTCGTCCTCGCCGGCGCCGAAGAATACGCTGACAAGGTGGCGCTGGTGGAGGCGGGAGGCGACTCCGGCGGAAAGACTCTCACGTACGGCGAGGTCGCACGTGACACGCGGCGATTCGCCTGGGCGCTCCGGTCGTTCGGGCTAAGAAAGGGTCATGTTGTGGTGGTGGCGCTCCCCAACCTCGCTATATATCCGGTGGTGGCGCTTGGCATTATGGAAGCCGGCGGTGTCTTCTCTGGCGTTAATCCCCTTGCCACGCCGGCGGAGATAAGGAAGCAGGTGGAGGACTCTGAAGCAAAGCTGATAGTAGCGGATGCTACCACTTATCGCAAGGTGATTTATTAATTAACGATAATAAAAAAAATTAGAACAATTTTGAGATTAACTCATTTTTGTGATATGTATTACAATTAAATTATATAAAATTTTGACTAATAAATATTATAATAATTTTGAAGCTATAATAAAAATTAAGGAAATTACAATTATAACACTTTTGTTTTAATTTAACATGCAAGACTGAAAAAATAAAACATTTATGATAATTTTCAAAATAAAATATTACAATATGTACATATATATAAGAAATTTATATAAAATACAAAATTTAAAAATCTTTTTAAAAAATATGCAAAGGCATAAAATAATAATCATAATATAATTTTTTTAATTTGATGTAAAAGATTAAAAAAATATATTTATAATAATTTTAAAAATAAAATATTATATTTATATATAACCTTGTTTTTAAATCAGGTGACGGAATTGGGAATTCCAATAATATATATAGGAGAAGAGAATCCGATCAATGGTGGCATAAGCTGGGATGAGCTTCTGGAGGCATCTGAGAGGGCTGGCCCGACCACCGCTATGGAGGAGGAGGAGGACCAAAAGTTAGAACAGAGCGACGTCTGCGCATTACCCTACTCCTCGGGCACGACGGGCTCGTCCAAAGGAGTAATGCTCACACATCGAAACCTAATCGCCAATCTCTGCTCCTCCCTCTTCAGCGTTCCACCGGAGATGCAAGGACAAGTGACCATTCTCGGTTTAATGCCCTTCTTCCACATCTACGGCATCACCGGCATATGCTGCGCCGCCCTCCGAAACAAAGGCAGGGTCGTTGTACTCCGTAGATTCGAGCTGCGTGGCTTCCTCCAAGCGCTTATTCACCACGAGGTCACATTCGCCCCTATTGTTCCGCCGATCATGTTAGCAATGGTGAAGAATCCGGTCGTCGATGAGTTTGATCTCGGAGGGCTCAAGTTACGCTCGGTTATGACGGCTGCCGCGCCGCTGGCGCCGGAGCTAAGGGCAGCCTTTGAGGAGAAGTTCCCTGGTGTCGAGGTACAAGAGGTATGCATCAACTTGAGAGTAGAACTAGGCGTTCTGTTCTGGCGTTGAATGGCTTATATCAAATTCAATCGGTCCAGCAGGGCCGTAAGTTAGGTTTTTGGGTAAACCCTAGTTTATAGCTATTCTCATATCTAGTTAGTTTGCATTTATGAGATACTAACATCTATAAGACCATCAAACAGTCACTTGTGAGAGAAATTTTCTATGAGGATCATAATGATTCTAATGCATTTAATTAATCATAAAATGATATTCGAAGTTCTTATATTCAGGTATGTCACTTAGTTTAATGATGAAAAAGAGAATAAATGATTCAATATATTTAAACTTATAAGTTATAACATTGAACTCTAAGAGTTCGTTTGTCACAACTTTTTGTTGTTTCATTTTTTTAGCTAGCAACCAAAATTTCATTTAGATAATGCTTTCTCACTGATTTTTAAAATTTTATGTAATGTAAAATTGTTTTTAACAATAAGACTAGCTAAATTATTTTTCCCACAATACTAATTTTTTAAAATGCTGCAACCATCAAAAATAGACCTTAAGAGCATGCTTGGGACTGCTGCAACTCTGTATAAAATTTGTTATGAAATTGTAGTTGCAATAGGAGAGTTTTAAAAAATTTGTGTGGATATTATATAATTTTTTCCTTCATAAATAACTGGAGTATCTAACAATAGGAATATTACAATTATCACATTCTGGAGTATCTATCAATATGTATAAACTAAGTATGAGGATAAAGTGTAGGCATATGGGCTGACAGAGCACAGCTGCATTACATTGACTCATTGTGATCCAAGGAAAGGTCATCGCAACGCCAAGAAGCACTCAGTTGGGTTCATTCTCCCTAACATTGAGGTCAAGTTCATCGATCCTGAGAGTGGCCAGTCTTTTTCCAAAAATATGCCCGGTGAGCTGTGCGTTAGAAGCGAATGTGTCATGCAAGGTATGGATATCAGAACTTTCATCTATCATTATTGACATCTAAGTTATATCTATTGGTTTTTCACAGATCTAATTGATTGAGATTGAAATATGTTTAGGATTTATTTCACAAAAGCAATGTTGTGTCTTGGAAAGTTTCTCAAAACTTGAAATTTAAACAAGATGTTTAGAAATCAGGAGTTATATGCATTTAAGCTAACTTTAAAGTTGTTAGAAAGTCAAAAAGAAGAATTTTGAACTTTTGGTTTGAACTAATCTTGTGTCACAATCATTTAAAAGAAGCGTTGTTATGTGTTGGTTTCATTCCCATAAATTGAGATAGTAAAATAAAGTTTTAGGCAAATTGAGATTGTATAAAATTTATATGAATATTGATTTTAACAACTTAACTCTATTAATTTAATTAATGCATTATAGTTATAAATGCAAAATCACCAAGTGGCTTTATTTAGTTATAACTCAAAAGTAATTAACATTATTGAACCATGATTTTTAAAAATTGAAGGTTATTTCAAAAATAAAGAGGAAACAAACCGGACGGTAGATCAAGATGGGTGGCTTCACACTGGTGACATTGGATATATTGATGATGATGGAGATGTGTTCATTGTGGATCGCATCAAAGAGCTCATAAAATACAAAGGCTTTCAGGTGAGTTTAATATTAAACTCAATTAACAAAAGATTAATATCTTATAAGGCATTGAAATCATGCATGATTAAAGTTTACTCATTAGGTTATTGGTCCACTATAGTAATCATCTAATAAGAGGAGTTTTTTTGTTTTTTGGTGGTTACAGGTGGCTCCTGCAGAATTAGAGGCCATTCTTCTTGCACATCCTTCTGTTGTTGATGCTGCCGTCTTTGCGTAAGAGCTCCATTAGTTAAACTCAAAACTTTTACGTCTAATTTCTCTCATGTTTTAAGCTCCTCCAAATATTGTATTGGAGAAAGATTAAAAGAAAATGAATATGCAGCTTGCCCGATGAGGAAGCTGGGGAGATTCCAGCTGCGTGCGTGGTGAAAAAGTCTGGAGTTAATGAGACTGAGGAGGATATTATGAGATTTATAGCGTCCAATGTGGCATCCTACAAGAAGGTCAGGGTGGTCAGATTCCTCAACTCCATTCCAAAATCACCATCAGGAAAGATACTGAGAAGGCTGTTGAAGGATTCCTTCAATTATATACAACAACAATAAGTCTTTTATGACAAACAAATAATTTTACCATATCAAAATATTCACAGTAGTAATAATTGTCTTTCAAGTTTAGATGGATGTAAAAATAATTCAGTAATTGCAAGATGCTCCAACCTCATATTATTGGCCTTCAATAAAAGCAGTCAGCATCCTAAATAATTCAGCTTTATTATTATTATTTTTTTATGTAGAGCTAATCATAATTTTATTTGTTTTATCTGGGGGAAAAAATAGAGCTCGTCATAAAATGTTCTACAATTTTAATTAGAGATAAACGAGTACTGTATTGTCCTTTTCATTGTATAAAGAAACCAATGGCTAACTGAGGGGAAATTATTGGGTTCGGATACCGCATGTCGTCCAAAGCATAATGAAAATGTGTCACATCACCTCCTACTCGATACTGATCTTGATATTGAGCAATGCCAAGCAGTCCCGAGCTCGGTACTGCTCCGTGCCGAATTCAATAATACTTGGTACCGAGCTTGATATTGCTCGATATTGAATAACATGGCTGCATATGATTGATCTCCGAACGATAAGCTGTGTGTGTTTGATTTCCCCTGCTTGAGAGTGCTAGCATCCACACTATAGGAATAGGAGACTCAATTATGCAGGTGGATATAACATCATCAGATCAATTGGTTACTAATAATTCCAATCATAAATAAAGATACGAAATTGGCCCAACTTTAAGACACCAAAAAACTAAGAATAAGAACATTATAAAATGTAGAATAATCTCTACCATTCTTCTAAGACTTTCTTGGCCCATACTAGGGGCTAAATGAGCCAAGTAATGACCTTACCAAACTCAGCTTCTCAAATATTTAATCGATTCAAACTCAAAAGACGAACTTGAAATCAAGCTCCTCCCAATATAAATGAGTTCAAGTCATCTTAAAAGTCTTAACAGGATTATTTAAATTTAGGCATAATTTTTAAATATTTAAATTTAATATTTTAGGATTTATTATTAAATTTAATAAACAAAATAAAATTATTTAAAAATATTAATAATTATTCGAGCCATTAATTACTATCAATAAATAAAATCTTTTACGATTTAAATAAATAAATAAATCTTTACTTCGTTATATAGAGATAATAATTTACTATTCTTTTTTTTTTTTTTTGGCAACTAATTGAGAATATATTACCTTGTAGTATAAAATTTAATTTACAGCATTAAGATCATCTGACCGATCACTTACAAACTTAATAAAACACTTTATTATGACCCTAACTAAAATTACCAAGATCTCAATTTATAGAGATCTAAAATGAAAATTTTGACTAAAACAACTCACTCAAATAGAACTTCATACCCAACAACATGAGCTCAAAATTCCACATTAACATGTTCCAATAAATTTTGAGAAGTAATATGATTACAAAAAGATCAAACAAATCTAATTCAACTTCAAATTAAGCCTAAACATTATTACAAAGAATAACTTATTCTATCGTTAAAATGAATCTAAAAACCTAAAGAAGCTGAAATTAATATTAAATATTAAATATTAAATTAATAAATATTATTTCTCGTCACTAACTTCAAACCCACCACCAAACATGGCCCAGTCGGTTCATCTATATCAACTCATAACCCCACCACATATAACATAAAATATTGCATGAAAATGTTCACATTTTAAGGGGGTATATGTGAAGACGGACTTCAAATAACAAAAAGCCCAGCCTCTAACAATATGAACACAAAAATGTGGGGGGTCAAAATATACGTAAAAAAAACTTTATAATTATCAAATTTATTTTGAGATGAGATGATTGCAACACGAAAAGACTAATCAATCAAAATTTATATTACACTCATCTCATTTTTAGCAAAGTCGAGTCCTGACCCATATTTCTTTCATCAAAAGTTTGTCAATTTGAGCACCAAATTGGAAATTCAAATGGCAAGCGAGGGTGAGGGTGAGGCTGACCCTGCACTTAAACTCACCTGACAGACCACACTACCTTTCATTATTTTTTTTCAGATTCACATCAGCATCAAAAAAAGGATAATCAAGATAAAGATAATATCCCAACTGTATGAAATAGAAGCTGTACCAACGCATGACACTGAAAAAAATCTGGTTTAACACCAACAAAGACACTCCAAATATCTAACGGTTAGATCACCAATTGATTCAGATTTACTGAACCATAAGCACACAATACATAATGGTCTAGGCAATATAATGGAACGGACAAACTTCAACTTAAAAAGTTAAAAAGAGTCTACCTGGTCCTGCAACCATGGGACAACCAAACCAAGAACCACCATCATCTAACAGTTGCACAAAGTACTAATGACAACTCACCACTTGCGAATTGACAGACTAACATCAAATGGTGATAAGTATGTAGAGAAACTCAACAACCATCAAGACAACTTGACAAAAGACGGACGGACGGACGGACCGACCTCTGAGACATGTGACGCCGATGATGACTGAACTGAACCTTCTCGACCCAGACAATTTGTTTTAGGACTCACTGTAACAGTAGCATATTTACAAATCAATCGATGCAGGATGGATGCGCGATGGTAAAAGAGAGAAACAATATAACTCCATCAAAGGTTTGAATAAAATCAGAATAAATATTTCATCTCCGTGACAGAAAAGCTTAACATGTATACAGTGTAAGGACAGCAACAACATTGAATAGAAAAATGACACGAACACAAATTTACAGACCTGTTCATCCTCATCAGATGTTACTCCACGAGCCTCGTTTCCCTCAGAAGGTCTTTCTGCGCCACAGTTTTGGCGGTTGCATTTGGTCCTGAATGGGTAGTTTATATTGTTGCATTTTTCACACTTCCAGCTTCCGTCTGGCATTTTTGGCTCTGCGTAACAATGAAATAATGCATCAAGTATCTCAATGTGAAGAGCCGCCTTCAAAACAAGCCTTTGTTCAACGTTCAATAATTTGTGAGGTTAAAATTTTTAAGTGTCAGAACTCAGGAATAATCATCTACTCTTTTCTTAGGGGCCATTTGGTTGCTTGAAGTTAGAAGAAATGTTCCAAAACAAGATGAATTTTGTAGTTCCAGCATTTGGTTGGATACTGTTTGAAATTGATATGGATTTTAAACTTTACAAACACCACCGAAGTCCTAAACAATGAGAATTCACAAAAAATAGAGTGAAAACAAAACCATCAATTTCTAAGACATGCTTTCAACTACAAATAAAAATATGATATCTTCTAAGAAACTAAAAACCTCCACTTTTAAGTAATCTAAAGCATAGGCATACAAACAACAAAATAACCGAAAATTTATATATATATATATATATATATATGAAGTGTGAGATGAAATGAATGAGGACAAAATCATAAACGGAGATACAATAACTACCAATTCCTTCAATGTGTTCTGTCAATCTTACCCTTGTTCTACTATATTGTATAGTATATCAAAATGCTTGAATCTAGCATCTGATTAAGTGATAGACGTGGGTAAAGGTGTAAGAGCGCCTAACAGCTAAGCTGGCTCGTTAAGGAGTATGAAAGTAGAGCTTATTGAGTCACAAGCCCAAGTTCAAGCCCAGATTATAGCTGGCATAATATACGAGCTTAAGTTCCAACTAGAGTGGGCTCAGATCATTGGCTCGTGTTTCTCTCACATCCACTAGACCCATTAAATCTCATTTCTCTCTGATGTGCTGCTCTCCTGGATCAATCTCTGTAGATACTAAAGAAGGAAATAAAGCCTAACGTAAACATGTCTCATTAATTAATGAATAGGTAACTACAGTAGAGGTCTCATCATTAGAGTTGGAGGAGATAAAGCTATTGTTACTAGATATTATCCCTCCAGCAAGCTCCCAACAAGCTGTCGATGCTTTTTGTAGCAATCTCATGTCAATATGTCACATTGCATCGTCGATGCCTTCTCCAGCAAGATCCTATTGCAATGCCTTCTCCATCAAGCTTCCACGCAATCGATGCTTTCTAGCAAACTAGATGCCTTTTCCACCGAGCTCCCATTATAATACTGATTATGCCTTTTCGACAAACTCCCACTGCAAAGTCTTCTCCAGCAAGCTAACACAAATTCAATGCCATCTTCGATGAGCTACCAAGTCAAGCTTGAGCTTAAAATTATTTTGACACATCGAGTTTGAGCTAAATACAAGAGCTCAATTTGAGTTGAGCTTGTGTTCGAGCCCACCCTTACTTTGGCAAGTCAAGCTTAAACTAATTGTGACTTGAGCTCAACTCGACTCAGTTAAACCTCTAGATGCAGTTAGTTTAACTTCTATAGATAGATTTAGGTGGTTATCATGATGAAGAAGAATCATCATACTACTAGGCAATCATGGTTTCATGAAAACTTAAGTGATAGATGTGTGAGAGTTAACTTCTAGAGTAAAATCTAGGTGATTACCATGAAGAAATTTGATCGTACCATACAATCATAATACATTGAGAACTTAAGGAAATTAAAAAATAATAATAATAATAATTTGATTATTATATATGCTAAACTAATCTCATGTTGTGATGTTGGAAACATAAAATCTCGAGTTGTCTGGTGGGAATATAACTCTTTAAAAGAATGCTAGAGAGAACTGAAATGGATACACAGACAAATGGCCATATTTAAGAGACGGTGGGAGTAGGCATCAATCAAATAAGGTCATAGTAGCAAGGAAACTTCACATTGTTTGTGCATGAATAAATCGCATAAAAATAAAGAGAATAAGACATTAAGACGCTTCAACTAGGCAAGTGGAAAAAAAATGGTGCAATGAAAGATTAGAAGGAAAATTGATAGATCACAAATAACATAGGCTACATGTTGGAGAAAGAACTTGGAAAAAAGAGAGTTAATTCCTTGGGACTAGCAGATAAATTGATTCATATAAGTGATTTCAAATAGTTTAGATAGTGGTAATGATGATGATTATTAACCAATATTTTGTAAGCGATACAAAAAATATTTCATTTTAAATATATAAGACATAATTTACAATTTTTGATATCATTAATATTAAAGAATAATGTATTTGATTTCATTATTAGATAACAAACCAAATAATATTTTAAAGTGCATCAAGATGGAACATTGATGAAAAAATAATAGAATAGTACGTAGGGAATTGAAAAAACAATAATAGTAATAGTGCATTAAACTGTGTTAAATTCAAAATAATAAAAAAAAAATACATGTGTGAAGATGTCAGTACACCTCAATTCTTTTCACCTTTCCAGTCCTCTTCTCATACTTGTCAACCGTACATCATCGCCATCAAGGACATAGAGGCCTCAACTCCCTCCTATGATAACTAATAGTCTAATACAATACTCGATGGAAGACTAATGCCATTTTGTCCACACTAGACCCACCACCACTTCCGCCTAATGATCAACCATTATGGCCTCATAAGAACCATCGAGATGCTTCCACCACCACCATATTATCATCATGCAAAAATGTGGCAAACTTAGAGAAAGTAACAAATGGAATTAACATGTGCAGTGATTTATTAACACCATAAAAAATCCAAAATAGCCCATGAATTATTAATATGTGGCTACTTTAATCCAAAAGTATCAGATTACTCCAATTTAACCCCTCGCCTACACAAAAAAGGTATCAAATGGTCCCTCATGTAAAAGATGTCTAAAATTGGGATCAATTTTGTAGTCAATACACTATATTGGAGAAATATCACTCTTAAACTAAACTGGCTATATATGAATAATCAAGAGATTATTTTAGGCCCTTTTTCCAATTAAACACAAACTAGAATGATCTCCGTTCCTTGTTTGGAAATTTGTAGTGTTGGCATAATTGGTATTAGGTAATGATTATTTCAATTGCCATAATAGGTTGTGGTTGAATTCTTACTTATATTCTCTAGAGGCGTAAGATTTCTATGGTTCTACCAGTGATATCAAATTCCCTATTTTAATTCATTGTCGTGGCCTTCGGCAACTCAACCATGAATATCGATACTTTCTTTGACTCCACCACAAAGTGCATTGGCAATGTGCAAAGATCTACTCAATCACTACAAGCAAATCCCCCATCTTTGGGCATGAGGAAAGCAAAAGAGTTTATCCCCAACATGAATGAAGAGACGCCATCATTGCTGCTCCCAACAAATTTGGGTGTTGTACCATAAAATCCACCTATAAATTGTTGAAGTTCTTCCTGTTTGAGATGAACACATTCTTCGGATAGTCTTTGAACTCCATATAAATGCTAGGGTGCTCGACCCAATTAAGAACCGCTTGTACCAGAATGTCTAAAAGGGTACTCCTAAACTGAGCTCCGGCTCGCGAGGTGTCAATTAATATCTTTGGAGAATATTATGCAAAATCCAATCCCTATTAAGGGTGTGAGTGAGTCAAGCCGACTCATAAACCTGCTCGAGCTTGAATCAATAAATATCTCGTGAGCCATGCTTGATGAGCTAATAAGCCAACTTGCCTTGTTATTAGAATTCATGAGTTCAAGTATAAATCTATTAAAAAATTTTAAAATTTATCATTTTTTCTCTTTCATTATAAACAAGCAGTCTTGAACGCGTAGCATTAAGCTCGAGCTCAAGCTTGAAGTTAGGAGTGATTGAAGCTCAACTCGGCTGGTTCACACCCCTATTCCCCATCACACCTCAATTTAAATTGGTTCATGTTAACGATGATGCCGCAGAAAAACTCAAATTCACTGTTGTTTGACAGTGAATACATCACAATGTTACCAAGAAAGGAAAGCATTCATCAAGAGAAACTGATGATTTTATGATCCTTTGTAGGCATTTCAAAAGTTGCAGAGCAAACGTGGGCCCGTCCGGAATTAGTTGCAGAACAAATGAGCAAAATGTAAGATTATTTATAGTCAACCACTGCTCATATCCCCGGCTACTTACTCTGAGTGATAATATTAAAAAAAAAATCATTAAAGTCAACAGCAAAAAGCACGATGCCGAGAAAGCACGAATTTGAAATCCAGAATTCTACTTCTTAGTTGGTATAATAGAACAAATAACTCTCTGTATTTAAATTAGAAACAAGAACATAAATAAAATATACAAAAACACACAAGAAGCATGCTGTGAACTAGGTCTAAGAGGAAGGTTACTAGCATCTAGAAAATAAAGCTGCATCTGCTGAGTGTTTTAACATATCTCTTTTAGGTCAAAAGCTAATAATTGATTCTACACAAGATTATAGGAAAAAAATAAAATAAAACAAACAAAATCACTACAACACTTGAGCACGTGATTTCTTTAAATAAAAAAAAGTGTAAATTAGAACTTACTAGAACCCTTTAAATTTTCAGATTTGGTAGCCTGCACAATCAAAAAAAAAATGTCAAGGAATGCAAGAGAAGATTTTCAATAACAATTAATAGCCCAAACATTCATTAAAAATCATAAATAATAATTAATGGCCCCAACATTCATTAAATATCATAAATAAAAATTAAAAATCATTAATGGACCCAACATTCAAGGAATGCAAGAGAAGATTTTTAATAACAATTAATGAAATTTTAAAATTTCATTTAGATAATTAACATCATATGCACAGATCCGTAGAAAAAAATATTCCTTAAAAATCATAAATATGTTTTTTAGATCATCCCCCTCCACAACGAGCAACATTATGAAGGTGTAACTAGAAGAACACGTTGCCTTAAGATGCTAGGCAGTAAGGCAAAAGCCATGCCTAGCTTTGATTTGAGAGGTGGATATTGATACTTCAAATGTCAAAGATGAATAAGTTAATAATGATACCTCAACATGAGATGATGTGAAAATAACATCAAAATTTGGATAAATAGGCATGTTCCCTTGGAAATTAGTCAGTCAAATGTTAGTTCAGATTTACATTCTATAGTCAATCTTAAATTTAGAGATGTAAAAATAAAAAAAATGGAAAAGGGGAAAGAGGAATTACAGTGATAGAGAATAATGATGAAGATTGAATAGTATAGCCAAATTAGAATATAATTGGGCTATACACACTAGTACTGATTTAAAATAATCTGTTTAGTAAGATTTTGTTTTTAATTTCAAAATTCTAATAGAGCTTATAAATATATTTGTTTACCTAATATAACATAATTCGATTGGGGGTGTGCATTATTTGGTTAAAGCACAAACCAAGCCGATCTTATTTGGTTCGGTTTTTAAAATATCAAGTCAGTTATTGGTTATAATTTCAACTTTCTTCAGTTTTTGGTTTGATTTCTTTTTATAAAACCGATTAAACAAAAATAAAAAATTATACTAACTTATTCAAATATTAATTCAATAAAATACGTGAATTATACAAAAATGACATAAAGATCAATGTGGATATTATTTATTCCACATGACAAAATTATAAATTGTAGTAAATCTTACTTGATAATACATACTATTTAAGTTAATATTTATTGTTTAAATTAATTACATTTTGGTTCATCTAGATCTAAAACAAACAACCAAATGCATAATTGATTTTGCTAAAGTTTGGTTCGGTTTAATTTGATTTGGAAAAAAGTTTGCAGTTTCAATTTTCAAAATTTTAGAAACAAAACAATTTGATTTTCTAATATGTGAACCAAACAGACCGAATAACCCAAATGTACAACCCGGCCTAAATGCAATAAATAGCATTTATAATCTTTAAATGTATTCCTTAAAATTAAATTGAATATATAAGCGATATAAATAATTCTTCATTAGCGTGACCCTTCACTAGAGCAACATGTAGAAATTGTTTAAAGAGAAATTCAAATCCTATTATATTCTTTGGAAATTGGAATCATTGCATATATATACAATCTAGGAGAATAAAGAAAAAAGGAAAGATATTTAATCTAATTAATTATAATAAACATATCCCACGGATCTCGAACTATAGCCCTTGGATTGCTTCCCACGGATCTCCAGCTGCAACCCTCGGATTGCTACCCACGAATCTCCAACTGCAGCCTTCGGATTACCACTAACAGATTGCTGATGTGACCTCACCTTGACTGTGTGATTCAACACTCCCCCTCAAGTTGGATTGTACAAGTTGTGCAATCCTAACTTGCAAACAAACTTTTCAAGTAGAGAGCCCGGTAGTGCTTTTGTTAGAATATCGGCAAGTTGTTCATGAGTTGAGATATATATTACTTCAATTTCTGAGTTTTCTGCTTTCTTATATACAAAGTGTCTATCAATAATAACATGTTTTATTTTGTCATGATGTAGTGGATCCTTGATCATACTGACTGCGAATTAATTGTCACATTTCAACTTTATCGTGCCTTCAATCTTTATTCTCAATTCAATCAATACTTATCTGATCCAAATACCTTCACAAATAGCAATTGCTAATGCTTCTAGAAACAACATATTGTTTCTTACTCCTCCATGTCACTAGGTTCCCCCGCACAAATAAACAATGTCCTGTGATCGATCGACAGTTAACATGGCTTCCTACCAAATCTACATCAGAATAAATGATCAATTTAATATCTTCAATTTTCTTGAATAATAGCCCCTTTCCATGAGTGTTCTTGAGATATCTCAAGATTTGATATATTGCCTCCATGTGCTCCTTCAAGGATTACTCATATATTGGCTTACCATACTCACAACAAACACAATATCTAGATAGGTGTGGGAGAGGTATATAAGCTTTCCTACCAGATGTTGATATCTTCCTTTATCTACTGGAACTCCCTCCTTTTTTATCCCGAGTTTCTTCTTAGGATCCATAGGTGTACTGGCTGGTCTGCATCCCAACATGCTGGTCTCCTTTAGTAAGTCTAAGGTATATTTGCGTTGGGAAACAAATATACCTTTGCTTGATCAAGTTACCTCCATACCAAGGAAGTATCTAAGTGATCCAAGATCTTTAACTTCAAACTCCTATAACAAAGCTTGCTTGATCTTCATTATTTCATCTATATCATTTATAGTCAGGATTATTTCATCTACATATACAATTAGTACTGCTACATTGTCTCTTTCTTATTGCTTCACAAATAAGGTATGATATGTCTAGCATTATCTAAAATCATGGCCTTCTACATACTTTGAGAATCTTCCAAACAATGCTCTTAGAGACTGCTTTAATCCATACAAGGATTTCAACAATTTACACACTTTATTTATTCCATAAGACTTCTGAATCCCATGTAAACTTCTTATTTCAGATTCCCATTCAAGAATGCATTCTTGATATCTAGTTAATGTAGGGGTCAATCTAAATTTGTTGCTAAGGAAAGAAGAATCCTGATAGTGTTGAGCTTTGCAACAGGACCAAAAGTTTCCTGATATTATATTCCATAAGACTGAGTGAATCCTCTTGCAACAAGTCTAGCTTCTAGTGTCTCAACACTACCATGCACCTTATGCTTTAGAGTGAACACCCATTTGCAAGTCACAACTTTCATTCCTGGTGGGAGATTCGTAATCGCCCATGTTTGATTTTTTTTCCCAAGACCGTAATTTCTTCTTTAACAACATGTCTCCATCTTGGGTGATTCAAGGCTTCCTGAATATTGATTGGAATTTGTACATCATCCAACTTGGAAAGGAATACTTGATAAGCATCTGATAATATGTTATAGGAGAGAGTTTTCGATTGGATGTGCTTGATTCTTTTTGGCCATTTGATGACTCTATCTCTTTTTGAACTTTCTCATTTTTATCCTCCGTATGAATTTCTACAGTTGTTGGATCCATTGAAGGAGAGTTGACAGGTACAAGATGTGTCTCACTGCTCGGCATATGTTGATTTTTTTTCTTTTTCTTGAGTATACATATTGTTGTTCTTTAATGCTACTCTTTGCAGAAATTGATTAGAAGAAAGGGAGGTAGGTATGCCGCCGACACTCAGAGAAGGCCTAGGATTTTCCTAGGCTCTGATACCATGTACAAATTGTTTAGAGGAAAATTCAAACTATATTCTATTCCTTGAAATTATTACATATATATACATTCTAGGAGAATAAAAAGAAAAAAGAAAGACAAATAATCTAAATAATTATAATAAACATATCCCACGGATCTCCAGCCGCAACCCTTGGATTGCTTCCCACGAATCTCCAATTGCAGCCCTCGGATTGCTGACATGGCCTCCCCTTGACTACATGATTCAACACAAGAACCTATGGTAGCATCTAGCAAAATGAGCATTACACAACCATACTGCCTAAAGGATCCTTGGTTTTTGAAAAAATAGACATAACCCTCTTTCCCTCTTTCCCTCTCACTCCTTTAACAAAACATTACCAGCCCATCATATTGATGCATTTTTAACTTTCATCGCACATGCCCATGCCCATGCCAGCTAGACTATCTTCTACAAAATTTTCTTCAATAAAATGCTACTCCTGCTGTGTGTCTACTATAATAACTTATGAATCAATACTTTCTTATATAACCATATATTTGTCTAAGCATTCTCATTTTTGACACAATCTATTTAGCTATAAATGATTTTTTTCTGCTGCTCAACATTCATATTCATATAACAAAGCCTACCTAATTCCAATTTTATAAAAGTTACCAAGTCTCAAAGATATTCTCCTATCTATAAAAACTAATAGATACACCAAGCAAGTAAATGATATTCCACATTGTAAATGTCCATGCCGCCTATGTTTATTTTCTACTTTCTATTCAATAGAGGATATTCCACATATTAGCTTATTATAAGTGTTTCTAGTATAGTAATGCAATGATGTTTCAATTACAACTTCATAGCAAAAGAAGCATAATGGATCATGGTTGCCTCAAGGATTAAGTTTATGTAAAATATAATAGAGCATTGATTCATTGATACAATCATCATGATGTGATTGACCATATTTCTTTAATTGACATGGATGATGCAAATGAGTGGCTAACATAAAAAATGAATGACGAGTCTAATGAAAAAAATGAATTCGTTGTTGGAGAAGAAGATTTGACATGGAACACTGTTGCAAAGGTCACTGGCTTTATGAAAAAAGCTACAACATTCAAGAGTGATCTAATGGCAAAAAAAGTAATCTTCATTTAGGCAGAACATTACTGCAATTGAGAATGAGAATGATAAGGGTGATGAAGAGGATTATGAAATAGGAGACAATGCTAATGAACATAATGAAACTTTTTTTACATTTGTTGATGATGATGATTCCAAAAAAAAAGAAGATTAAATTCTTACAAAATCATTATACTTTAAAAAAATAATTGTAATATTTTGAATTATGAGAGATTGAGGTGTTCTTTACTTAATCTTATGTATGACTTTGGTTGTCTTTTATTATTATGATAGTTTATCTTTCAATTTAATTAAATAATGTCTATTTTTTATTAATTATTTTATGTTTTGAACCATGTTTAAAATGACATGCGTCATGCCATGCACTATGCGCTATGGCTCTACGGCATACTTTGCACCAAAACGGTTTAACAGGGGGGCAGATCATGTTGGTTGCTGACGAGTCAGATTCGGGTTGGTGTTTTTGACATGTTTATTAAATGGGTTGGGTTTGAGTTGATTGGATTCGGATCGGATCCGAACCCGACCCATTAACCCGTTTTGACAACCCGACTTTGCAGATGCATATGCATGAGTTTCTAGTTAGCTAGCAAAACATGGAGCGAGCATGTATATTCTACTAAAGCTCAAGAAAAAATTTAAAGATACTCAGCATAAAAATATAACCACAAACCTGATTTCCAGGCCTCGGAGTATTGCATTTCCTCATGTTACAAATATTTCGGAAGGCAAAATTTCTATTACCACAATTTGGGCAAATCCAATCGTTGTCATGTCTTGCATCTAAGAATTTTAACCAATGAATTAAACAAGCTCAAAGATTAGAAGTTTAGAAAGATAATATTATCTCAAAAAACATACCTGCAGGCTTCTTTTGGAAGTCCTCGTCATGATATGGTATAGGTCTTGATGGCCCCTAATAATATAAATCAAAACATCAAATTTGTGGGGAAAGCGTCAAGCAACAAAATGAAACATACCAAAAACTAAAGATATATTGATTGAATAGTGGCTATTATCCTTTGAAAGCAATATGTTGGCAAATAATAGAAATACAAGCGCCTACTAATGGCCAAAGAAATCTCAAAAAATGAATCAAAAACTTAGTATGTAAAACGATGTAAAAAAAAACTTAGCTTACCATTGGTCCATGACCCATATGCATTCCCATGCCATACCTGTCCATTAGTGGAGGCATGCCATACATCCCACCTGAAGCATAAGGATATTTACGTTATTCTATCAGCGTATAAATGATTAAGGATATTAAGAAAATATCCAGCTAAAATCAACGGTAGCATGCAATATATATATATATATATATATATATAAATCAAATGAGTGAAACACGGCAATAAACTCAGTAAAATATCAAATATGACAGTTCATAAAAGCCAAAAAATATTAATATTAATATAAAAATATAATAAGATAAACCTATAGAAAAAGTTTAGAAATACAAATGATCTTTTCTCTAACTATTTTATTAAAGTGTAGTGGAATTTTTTATGCTCAAATAAATTTCTGTTCTTCATGATTGACAAATAATACAAAGGTAAAATCATCCTATGAAAGTAGCAGTTATCTTGCACGATCTCACTATTTGGAAGAGGTTATGCATGCTCGTTTAGTCAAAAACCGGATTGATTGGGGCTTGACCGAGGGAATCTTTTTCTTCTAACATAATGTATGGTTTGGTGAATCTACTATGGCTGATTTTTGTCCTTCCATTTTTCATCCTTCAGTAAATGCTAGCAATTTCTTTTATTCTGATGGCAGAATTAACTCCTCTTTCAATAAGCTTCTAACAAAGCATTTAATGGATACTATTAATGATATTCCTTTGCAAGCTAATGTGCTTCGCATGTCTATTTGCATACTTTCTGATGTAAACTCTCTTTTAAAACTACATGGAAGAGCTGTATACAAAGAATCTACTTGGGAATCATCTTTTTATTTTGCTGCACAAATGAATAACTCAACCAATATCTTTCTTAGCTTAGAGATTATTTCTTGATTTGATTTGTGTGGAGTATGGATGAAATAATGAAAAACTGAAAGTAAAACGGTTCTTTATTGTGTTAAGGTGCTTCTGTTGCCATGCTGAAGAAGCTACGCATCATTTTTTTTTTAGGTCATATTATCAACAAGGTATTGATTTACTTTGTTAATCTGTAAAAATCAAATTTCCAGACTCTCTTCATGTACATTTTAATGTTTGAAAATCCTTCAGCGAGCTCATTTACAAAAGTCATATTAGAGTTTTTATTCTTATCTTTATCATGCAGCACAACTGTTAAAAAGTAAAATAATGTTAAAAATAGAATAATTAAGTTTGATTGGCGTCATATTATCCAGATGGTTAATAAACTTCTTTTACAACTTAGATATGCCTACTTAGGTATAGTAGTTGCTTGTGGTAAGATCTTGCATAACCCAAATGAAGCTCTAAGGGAAACCCAGGTGAAGCTACTTCTGAGATATTGCGTAATAGTTTGGGATCTTCCACATGGCCTTAAGTGTTGCAAGAGATATGACATTTATAATATGATTATTGAATTTTATGTCATACTTCGTATATATTGCTATCTATGCTGGTTCTACTTACTGGGAATTCCACCATATCCATAGTAAAATAAAACACCATTATAAGACACTTCATACTTCGTGTGCTCACATACTCTAGCAAGACAATGTTGCTGCTACTAATCATCTCGTGAATAAAGGATATATTTCCAAGGCAAACTTCTTTCACCACAGGAGATTCGGTGCTGTCTTATTGGTATTATAAGATATAAATGTGATGTTTTCCTTATAGAAAATCATAACATGTTGCAATTTTTATTTATTGGTATGTGCCTATGCTGGTCTTCTAATTTTTTGTACTTAATTTTGCTTCTGAAATAAACCAATTGGAGTTTTGCCTAACCCCTCCCACCTAGGCATAGGATAGTTTATCAAAAGCAAGAGCTACCAGAGCATGTGCTTTGTGCTGTTAGGAATAACAAAATATATTTCATTAATCTCGAGCAGATACTACAATTATGACTTTGATCATAAATGATTTTTTTGGTTGTATTAATTTTCTTGTAAGGAAGAGAGAGCAGTCCTTGAAATAGGAGAGGGATATAGAGAGCTGGGAGGCTAAAGCTATTTGAAGAAGGACCTTCTACATACTTCTGCTGATAAATGAATTAAGGGAGAGATCGTATAACACAATATAGCAGATTAAGTGTGTCTGCCAGTCAGTTTGTAGTTGTTCCACGAATGATTGATACAAAAAAGGTTGCTGGATATTTGGGTAAATTAAGGTTTAAAATGGCAAATGAGCTGAGGCAAATCAAATTTTGATATGTTTAAGCATAATTAATTGATTCTTATTAGATCTGACTTTGAAAACTATATGTGATTTATAGCTTAATACTATGCTGCGATAAATCTAATTGAATCTAAATATGTTTGAAAATTATCATTAAATAAAGCAATCATCTACCCAATCACAATGATTCATTTGATCCAAAATTCAACTAAACATTTGACTCCTAAGTCCTTAGCACTATCCATTTGATCTTATATTAAGTTAAAACACATTAAATTTAAACAGGAATCAATTTTGATTTAAATGTTGATTGCTCATTTAGATTTAATTTCATTTGTATTTCCAAGTTTACTGAGAAAATATTTATTGCTGACTTCAGTCAATTAATCCAGGATGTCAATGTGAATGTCCACCTCAAATCAGTCCATAACACAAAGTTATCCTAAAGATTAGGGAATCACATTGTGAAAAGATTAATCTAAACCTTTTGATGGAAGCTGCTCACCGTTGCAATTCTCAAATTACACCATTCAGATTGAAGAGGATGTCATAAGGGGTAAATAGGCGCAATTAAATCGTCAATCAACATCATATGAGGGAGATCAAAGCTCTCAAAGCTATGTTGTAGGATCAAAGTTCAAATTACAGTAAGATAAGATTAAATTTAATTTTTTTTAAACTTACTTGGGTAAAGTATTTGAAGTCAACTTAAAACTAGGATAATTTATGCATTTATTATTGTTCAATTTGCACTTAATTAAGTTGTTACTATGGATAAGATTTTATCCATTTTTTTAGTTTGCTTAGTCACAAAATAAATTAACCCCGGCCATCACTGCATAGTTAAAGGCTATTGGTTCTAAATAAAAAATAAAAAATTCTCATAAAACTCTTCCTCTTCCTTCAATAGTTTTAAGCTTTCCTCATATACATTTCAACCCATCAAGGAAAAGTTTCCTCTGTTCTGCATTCTAAAGCTATAATATTCAAATATAACACATATACTGTAAAAAAGTTGTGTCAAAACTAAATATTTAGGTCGCTGATCGTTAGAATGTGAAGTTATATATAAGAAAGGGAGTTTACTTAATTATCAATCAGATATATAAAACATTCTAACATGCTTCAGACAACATTTAAATTGCAGATATGAAGAAACTGTTGGTCATGAACAACAGTGATGACAAGGCTGCATGCATTTTATATATTTCCCTTTTGTTGGGAGGTAGAACGTATTTTCTTCATATTATCAGCTACATTATAATCCTTATTTAATATACTCTGCTCAGTGAAATCGACCAAGTTCACAAGGAAATTTAAACTGGTCTCCACCCAAAAATGTTGATAGTTAAAACAGGTAGTTTACATCCCTCCAATGTTTTTAAAAGTGTCAGACATACTATGATATGATTGCCCAATATTTGAGGTGTTGATGCATGCTCAAGCAAAGTTGGCACTAAGTAAAAATATGGCATTTAAAAACTTTATAATTATACTAAATTTAAGAGAATGAAAAGATTTTCTATTAACTTATGTTGAGGAGAAAAAACAAATTTTAACATTCCATTACATTCCAAGTTCAAAAAAAATAGTTAGAAGATTGTTTTCAAGTTTCAACAAGTATCATTAAATTACTTTTAAGTCAATCAATAATCTATTCTCTACTATTATATATTCCACCTACTCATCCTCCATGCTCTCTTCTTAGCACTAAATTTGTAGCCCTCACGGCCCTTACATTGCTTTCTTAGACTCATCCTCAGCATCAATCATCATTAAGATTTACTATACAATAACTTAATTTTCAGACCAATATTAGGTCAACCTTCTTTCAAAAGTGCATAACTTTTTCTCCTAAACTTCATGATCTTTCACATCTCATAGCATATTATGAACATCCAAAATAAACGCATCTTCAGCCTTTGAAATATACATCCATAGAAAAAATCAAGGCAAGGCACTCACATGAATACACAATGCATTAAAAAAAATGTTCAGCCAAGCATGTCTTACATGTCTTAGTAATGGTGCCCACATGGGAGGAGTACAAGAAGCTAGGCATTGTCTCACATCGCCTTTCTCAAGAGCCTAGGAAAGCACCTTACTCGCCTTTAACAATATTGCATCGATCAACTCACCAAAAACTCTGGTCATCTTTTTCTACCGTATGTTATATTATATATAATATAGGAACCTAATAAGTCAAATATCACATTAACAGTGGGAATTCACCTGCTAGTTGGAAGGTTACTACTCTTACATCTAAAAATATATCAATAAAACTAACTTCTCAAAAAAAAGTTAAAAAAAAAAAATTAAACTTCTCCTATCTACATGAAAATACAATGACTGCACACAAGGCTTGATAATAAAATGCACTTCTCAATATACTTACTACATTATGATCTACAGGCCTTGATTGTGTGCAATTTCGCATGTTGCACGTTGTCCTGAATGAAAAATTAACATTGCCACAACTGGGGCATGTCCAATCATCTTCTCGTCGGCCACCTATAAGCAAATAAGATAGTTTTCATTATATTATTCAACTATTATAAGCTTCATCTTTTACATGAGACCAATCAGCTTAATGAAATCAGAATTCTAAATGGCTATCAAAAGAAACCTGCCTAAACCACAAAGCATTCATATTCCTTAATATACAAATTATACATCAAACAAAAACCTCTAAGTTGATGCTTGATAATGTTGTGTTGCTTTGTAAAAGATAAAGTGAACAACCCTCACAAGGATGGACAAGTTCTTCCACCAGTTGTTTTCATGATAACTGAAACATTGAGAAAGTGCCTGTACAATATAGTGTTATCACATGTTTTCACAGATAAAATTGTGATATATTTGGGTTTTTGAAAAGCAATGGAACAAAAAAGATTGAAAAACAATATCTAAGATAGAATCTCGAATAGAATATAAGATAAAAAGGGATGGTCGTCTAATAGCCTATATTAATTTCAACACATGAATTCCACATATTAACTTCTATGAGTTAGAATGTAGTTTGCATGTTATTTTCCATCTTAGAAAGTTCATGAAACTCTGTAAACAAAAAAGATCAAGATGGTTTAAAACAGACACATGATGTCTAAAGTCCACAGATTGGACTAGAAAGGGGTATTATCAAGCCAAAAAAATACATGGAGTTCGTATCAACAGAATAAAAGATAATAAGCATAAGCTATTAAAAATCAACTTCAGTTTGAGAATATGCCTTCAGTTCTATGATTCTATCCTTCGGTATCTAAACATCCTCAAAGAATTTAAATGTTATACTAGCTCCAACAAAAAAGAAAAAGTCAGAAGATTATTTAAAACCATGTTCATTAATCACAAAAAAAAATTCAAAAACTTAACTTCCTATGTGAATTCACAAGCAGAAGCTTTTCTAATGAAGATTTTGAAAGCGCCAATACAACTTTTAAAGAAAGCTAATGAGAATTTGATGGAAAAACATCATACTAAATGAATAAACAACCCAAAGCTGATTTAAACATTAATATATCTTAAATTAAAAGCACCTTTATGTAACAATTTAAATTCTAAATATTTGAGAGAAAAAAAGAATTACCATCAGTTCGAGCCCTCTTGCCAGCAAAGGAGTTCCGACTATCAACCTGCATAAGACATACTAAACGGGTGGAAACTGAAATGGAGAATGCATTTTCTTTCTGTACTTGCCTCTACTTTATTTGAAGTAAAGTTTCAGCTATTAACAAAAAAATTACAAAAATCATGTACCTACAAACATGATTATTAAAATCATCATTAGCCTTCTCCCAAATCTTTAGAATTAATTTTACAAATCCTCGGTCTCCGTGTATTTCTATCTAGTGTTACAAGTGATGTTAAGTTATTGACTTTATTTTGCACAGATCTTTTAGCATTAATACAGATGACCATACCAATACTAATAATAGAAAAATTGCTCAGGAAAATAGCTGAATGCATTAAAATGGGGTAATGCTGAGGGTTTTTTTTTTTTCCTTTTCTGTTACAATTAGAATCAATGACAAATTTAACATTCCTCGGTAGCCTAAATAGCATATGAAAAATGGTCAGACAGACTAAAGCAATCTTTCATGGCTTCTATGTATCTTGAAAATCTTCCAAATTACAACAATCATAAGGTAAAGTCAATTTGATCTTATCATCAACCAGAATGCAAGTATTGACAATAGTTTACAACTATTTTATTAATAATAAAAATTTATGAGATTCCCTATAGCTTAGTCACAAAGTGATGTCAATGTTTTTATTCTGAGTGCAATTCCTAAAAGGCTAAAACAACATTGTTAGTAGAGAAGCTTTGAAGTTCAAATAATTCTCCAAAATGTTGCTAGTTATACTAATCTGAGTAAAAAAGTGAATACCAAAATGCCAAGAAATACAACACAATATTATAAAGAAGATTCACATAATTCCTCCATGCTGTGATAGCTTCAGTTGGGTCGAATCATTAATCGAAATTTTGGCCATCCAACATTGCACAAGGAACTATTCCCCTGCAGCTTCACCAGTTAACACTCCCGTACATCCCGCCGCAAAACTAAACCACAACGAAGATGACAATAAACTAAAAAAATTGAAACATCCAATTATACTCGGAGTTTCAAAATCCTAAAGAAACCAAAACTACAAGATCCATTCTTAAAACCTCAAAATAATCAGCACAGCGATCATCGCTAATAATTGACATACTACAATATCTTGATCGGCTTGAGATGAACCATGCTTGGTCACCTCTTATCGCCATTGGGTCTCTAGAAAAAAGGAATCGACATGCACATGGAAGCAGCGAGTATATAAAAGGAAACCGAAAAGAACAAATATTGCACGGAGAGATAGAGAGAAAGAGAAAGTACCTGAGACATGGCTATCAAGTTCCAGTATTCCTCTACCCTAGAGAACCGAAGAACGGCGTCGGAGCAGAAACAATATTAGGGCTTGGAGTTTTGGACTTCGGAGAAGGAACACGGATAAAAGAAAAAAAAAATCTCTGATAGGTGTTCGGACGGCTAAGATCTTCCTGAGGAATATGATCCTTACGCTGCTCCTGGACGTGGCAGCCGGCAAGCCCTCATGAGAGCGCTAGCCTAGACGCGGCAGCTAGCAAGCCCTCACGCGGGCGCTGGACACGGGGTCGGGTCCTCCTCGGGACATGCAACCTGCCGCAGTGCCGCCCTGCCTATTTTCACATGATGGGCATGATGCAGACAACGGGCAAGTGGGGCAGCCGGGCAGGAGCGGGATATGCCACGGGCTGACGGGGCAGAGGCGGGCAAGCGGGGCTGGGCAGCAGGGATTTACCACGTGGGAAGGGCAGCGGGCAAGCGGGGCAAGAGTGGGATTTGCCATGAGTAGCTCGGTCATTTCCGGGTTTCCGGGTCAACCGAGCCCAACCCGATTTTTAAAACGGATTGAAAACTCTAAGCCGAATCCGAAATTTTAGTGTCGTATTCGGGTCGTGTCTAATATTGACACCCCTATATATATTTATATATATAGAGCTATAGGACAAAATAAAGCATTCATGTAAATATTAGCTTTAACCTCATAATAATCAATATATTTTTGGGATTAAAAATCATGATTTAATTATAGGGTTATTTTTAATGTAAACAATTTTAATTTATTTTTTTAGATAAATTAAACTCAATCAGTTTTGAGAGAGAACCGTTTATTCGACAAACAAGCTCGTTTGATTGTCACAACTATTGGCTTCCACTATTTTTATACCTTATACTACATTCAAATAATTTCAAAATATTCACTTTATATTATATGATTTTACAGTACATTTCTTTTGTTAGTCAAGCAAACAACATCTATAATTTTTCACAGGAAATGCATATCTCATGAAAAATTATCAAATTAGTGCAGTGTTATTAATTGAATTAATGACAAAGCATATTTAAATTAGCATAATAAACTCTATATAAACTTATGCAAATTCTAAATATAATAACATTTTGATCATGCAATGTAGGATTGCCTAAACTTATTCAAATGTCAAAAAATGGCCCAATCCAGATTTGTCCCGTAGCAACATTCAGCCACATTTGCGTGCATTCATTACTATCCAAATCCAATAGGAGGATCCATACTTGTCATTATTCTCTAAATGCTACTCTCTTGAAGAGGTCTTAATTCACTAAAATATGATGAGGCATTATCATAATTTTTTTTTAATAAATCCAATCAAGAATGAATGGATTTCTTGAAATTGTGCATACCACACTACTTGCTAAAATTGATATGTTCTTAAATAATGACTCATAATATCATTTATTATACATTATAATGTTCATATCACTGATTTGAGGCATCATCGATGATGACTTTTAATGGTTATCACTACTAACCCGACATTGAGCATACATGCGAGCTCAAGTGTCTAACCATATCAATTTATAGGCAACCACAACGCAATTAAATTTGATCATAAGAGAATGTGATTTACATCATTCCTTGTTTACAAGGAATATGAGAGATAATGACTAATATAGCCCTTGGAAATTTATAATTAGCGACTTTTTAGTTTGAAAAAATATATTTTTTTTCTCATGGTTGAAGTTGCATAAAAGAAACTCCTCGCTAAAATCCATCCAAGAGCTAATTGACTTCATTTTGCCCTCTTAAAACTTTGTTTGATATTCATTGTGCTCTCTATTGATAGAATCACAAAGCATATAAATATGTTGATTATAATGACAAAAAATGTTATGCTTTGTAATTTAAAGACAAATGACATTTAAGATCATATATTATTGTTTGTGTAAATACAACTTGAAAACATCATAATTCATGCGTGAACCTAAAGTGCAAATGTGCTCGCGCTCAAGTGATCAATTATTTTAACTTTCTTAATAGTTTAAAGAGAGGATGTAAATCAGTATGAAACCATGTCATGGGAGATCAACGACTTGTTTGGGTTCTCGATCTAAATTTATTAGCAAATTGAAAAAAAAAATTACAACCTCAAGCAAATTTCAATCCTTGGTGAATATATGGTCATAAACATTACAAATTTTAATTTTAAAAAAAAGTTCTGAGATTTTTTTTGAGAACTTTAAAATATATTCATGATATGAAATCCCCCATAGAATTTTGTCCTTTTTGAAAGAAAAAAGGACGAAATTTCGACATAAACTCTTGACTGAATTGCATAAGAAATATTTCAAGTAAGAGATGTTAGTTTATAGAAATATACTTACAACCAAAAAGATAATAACAAAACAATATATATCTTGATCACATAAATTTATCACCTCTTCGAGAGCTAATATGTTAACTAATCCAAAAACAGGATGGTCCCCATCAAGAGTTAGGAGAATCACCATAGTGTGAGGTATTTAAGGTTGTGGACTAAACACTTTTCCGCTTGATTGCATTGAATACTGCATGAAGGCGCCATCATAACCTCAAACCAGCTAGATGTTCTATTATGTCCAGATGATTCTTTCATCAAAATCTAATTGAGAAATCATGAACATAGCCAGAACAATTTCCTTCATTATTATCTCCATGAAAAAGAGTTGAGAAAAGCATTGTAGCTCTTCCACCTCTGTTTAAATTATGCTTTCTTCTTCAGGGGGTTGAGATAAGACTCTTTTGGATCCTCTATGCAGCTCTATCTCTTGGGTGATTTTCTCTCCATCCTCAGCTAACATAATTATCTCTTGTCTAGGCTGAAAAAGTCTCCTTAGTCCTCTATTTTATGAGCAGAATTTGTAGATGTTTGCAAGATAAGATCAACCTAAATTTTATTGAAAGAGATTCCAACTATTCTTACTGAAAATATGTAACAGCTCTACATTAACGTTTACAACAAACTTTCACTATCCACAATCCCCACCCCCACGGCAAAAAAAATAAAGACAAAAAACAATCTCTTCTCACAGCCTCCTATGCTCCCTGATGAAATTCCTGGTTATAAGATCAAAAATACTTGAAAAAACCTGAGCTGCGCCAAGCAAAACAACGGCCAAAGCCAAAATTGCCACCTTCCACTGCCTTTCAGCTGTCAAAATCGCAGCTGTAATAGCAGCTAAGCTCAACAACCTCATCACTTTCTTCAATATCTCAAGCCTCTTCACAACAATCCTACACCCCTTGCAGTGAATAACATGCCGATAGTAACGATTAGTTGGGTTTGGTGCATACAGCTCCCCGACCCCTCCCTTCGCTGGCATTGATGCCGAAACTGCTGCAGCAGCCCCCACGGGCGCCTGCTCTATCACCGCCGCCTCCAAAGGCATCGACAATGTTTCATGTCCAATATAGTAAGGCATACCACTCCCTACTCTATCCATCCACTTCCTGTACTCCATAACCCATGTATCAGAAAATTTCAAATTCAAATACAACTCCTTGGTTGGCACCTTTTCTCTCATAAGCACCTCATTCTGTGAAGAGAGGAATCCCATGTCCTGTTCAAAAACCTTACAAGCATTCTGGTGGAAGAACCATTTTGGTATGAGATTAATGAGTAGAGGCCTTGAACTGGCTCCAAATCTGACAATGAGCATAGACTTCCCCTGTCCAGCTGGTCTGCAGAGGAAAAGTGCTGAGAAGTACTGGGGAACTCCATTCTTGTCCACAATCTGGAGGTTGTTCTGAAGCACACATGGGGCCTGGAAGCTGAGTGAATTCATGAATGCTGGGTTCTTTGATCGGCCCCATTGGCCTGCAAAGCCTCGGATTGATCTCTCTTTGACTTTCATGACCAAGGGCTGGGCGTCCTCACGCTTTGCAGTCCAGTCGGTGCGGTCATGGGATATAGGGACATGTGCAGGGTCCATGAGATTCTCAAGGAGTATGGAGTGGTCATAGGGGAGCTCATGGATTGTTGATGTGTCCAGGAAGCCTGGCTTAGCATAGTGTTCAAACCACGGTAGCTTGCTGAGGTTTGGGGGGTTTTTGTCAGACATCCAGACCCATACAACACCTTGTGAATCACGGACTTCGTAAGTCCTAACGCAGGCTGCTCGTGGTATCTTTGCTCCCTCAGGTAGCTATGCATATTACAAAATGAATACAAAGCAATATAAGTTTGAATTAGAAGTAGTCATGGCGCCATCTTAGTCATTTCAAATTAATATGGTTAATGACCCCATATTTAAATTGGCTGCACAAAGCATAGTCTGTTGTATAAAGATAAACATCAAATGCGGATGTGGGCAGTAAGAAGTAAATGACAATCAAATATTTCAATGCCATTAACTCAAACTATCATATCATCCTTCACTTTACAATTCATGCTAGATCTAATATCATCCTAACATGGTTTAGGTGAACTACAAATTGATGACAAGTACAGGTTTTTTGTTTTTTGAGGGAATAATAAGGTGGGATTTGTTGGGAACTAGGCAAAACTAAAAGCAAATACTGAGAGAAAATAAACGAAAAAAAAAAAGAAGCTCAAAACACATCAATAATTGTTATAAAGGTTCACTCAAGTTATAGATACTTGCTATTGGTGCGCAAATTTTACCATGATGATGATGCTGAAGGTTTTACAAAGAAGATTCACAACCTCTCTTTTTATGTACCTTTGTGTGATCTCTCTTAATGACATCCCTTTTATAATGAAAAAGGTTAAAGACAACCAAAGTATTTTTAACGGCATAACTCCCAAATTCTAGATTAGAACACTAAGTTTGAGCAAGGCTTGACTTCATAGGGTGTTACTTATGCTCCACAACTTAACAGGCTTAGAGTAACAAGAAGGTCGGCCACTTGTGATCTAGAGGCCATTAATTCTAATCACATAAATAAACTCTCTTTAATGTAGGAATAAGATTGTATGCCAAGTTATCTAGATATTTGATTAGAGTTAGAGTCATGCTCTCCAACTTTTCTGTTTTAAGAGGTGATAATCCAGGTCTAGGTGGGATCTAGTTGTGATAAAAGGATCCAGAAGAGCATCCTAGATAGTTTACAAGATGATTTGCCGTGTAGTTGAAGTATGAGACATGCTGGACTACAAACCTGAGGAATCTTGACACATTTTCCATCGCCTTCAAATTGCCAGCCATGGTAGAGGCATTCGATCCGCCCGTCAACGAGTTGGCCTTCAGAAAGCTTGGCTAGTCTGAAAGAAGAGGCTTTTTGCCCACATATCAGTATTCAAAATTCACAGCAGAGGAGTAGAACATGTTTAAGATTGAATCTGGTGATTTAGAAACATTGGTGCTTGCTTGAATATTTTTAAATTTACAAGTCCATGATTAATTTTAAGAAAATGCGACCAACATTAATGTTCTTTGTCTCCTATCCTTATATATCTTGACTTGTTGACAACTGAACAATTTTAACATTAGTTCTAAAATTTTAAAAATAATTATCATATATGACAGAAAAAAACTGTGATGTTGAGTGTTTGAGACATCAGTTGGATACAACATATCCAGATCTTCTAATCTCAGAAGTTCAAGTGATTTCTGAACATTTAAGAACTTTTTGGTAGAAAAATTTAGCCAAGATGTATTATAGGAAATTAGGCTAAATATTGGCAAACAGTTTTTTTAAGCCACATAAATTCTTAAATAATGTTTTCCTCCATTTTCAGCTTAATCTCATACTTTGTAAATTCAGAGGAAATAGATGCGTTCTGATCTCTCTTCTTTCTCATCTAATTCATTAAATATGAAAATCAAGAAAATTTGCAAATACTCCAAGTCATCCAAAAAAGAAAGTTTCCAGACCTAAAAAAGTTTCAGTGCCAAAACTAACATGCACTCACAGTTTGGGTCTCATACCTGTGAGGGCATCTGTCTTCGTAGCATCTTAGAACACCATTGAAGTCTCTATACAGAACAATCTGCTTGTGGAAAACGGTAAGACCCAAAGGAGCGTCTTCAGGCACCTCTGCTGTTAGGTATAATGGATACCACTCCTCCCTCCAATCATACTTCTCCTCAACTTCCTTCAACTCCTCTGCTTCTCTTGGAAGTAACACATCTTCTGCGATATCCTCTACAGTTGCAACCTGACACTGTTTCAACCTTGTTCTCTTCTTAGCTAGAGCTACCGGGCTGATTCTGTATCCATGGGTAACAGGAAGAGATCGAGAAGTACAGATGGAGGAAGACTGCTGAAGAGCTTTGCTAAGTGGAAGGAGAAAGAGAGATGAGGGAAGAGAGAGAGACATGATGAAAGGAGGCAGCTTGCTCGTCGAGAGGAGAGGAGGCGTGTGGAAGTTGTTTATAGAAGTAGAAGTGGACAATTTAACTCGTGTTTCAACAGTTTCTTCTTCTTCCCAACTCTTCCAACTTTCTCTATACCACACATTTGGGCTTTACCATCACAATGGCTGTAGGGCCCCCGGCGTTATCACTTCATCAGGAAAATGGTTAGCGCCGGTGTTTAACAAGTTAAAGCAATTGACAAACTGACAAAGCCATAGGTTTAATATATATATATATATATATATATATATATAATGAAAAACATTAAAATAGGGGACTCAGAGTGATTGTTGGCAGGTGCGACGTGTCATTTACGATTGTCAAACGTACCGCGTCATTAAGATCATAGCGACGAACGTACTTAAAAGGGAGCCCATCATAGTCAAATTGGGTGGAAACAATCGAAATCAACGACCAAGACACAAAAATATTGCGCATCGTTATCCGAACATTACAAGTTTGCAAAATGGATTTCGCCGTTGTGTCAAGAACATCAAACTCATATTAAAAAGTGATACGTCATCACAAAATTATCTTGATTGGGCACGAATCTCGAGGCAAAATCAATTCAGAAACTTCAAAAATTAATTTCGAGAGCTTATAGTCAAACTGAGCGTCTCGGAAATACGAATCCAACGACACCAAATTCGACCCAATCCGAGCCCAAATGAGTCCGAATCAAGGACCCGAAGAGCTGTTGGAAGGTTCAAACCGCAATTTGAGTTACGAAACGGTCTCCGATTTTAACGAGCTTATACTCGAATCGAGCGGCTCGACGAGACGAATCCAACGAGCCCAAGATCTCTGAATTCCGACATCATTAAGGTTTCCGAATGTCCAATGGACGATGCACGATCGAAGGGTTCAATATCAGCCGTCCATTCAAGCCACTCCCTATTCGCCCATGATCTCACACCTATTTACGAGCCATGCCACTCCAGAAAAACTATAAATAGAGCCCTCATTCTACACAAATGGGACTCAAGTGAAGAGAGAGAAGAAGAAGGGAAGAAGAAGAGAAAGGGGAAAAGGAGAATCCCCTCATCCTCGACCACCGCTGGAGCTCTTTCTGTCGCCCGAACACGCCGGGATTCTGCGTGATATTCGGGAGAACGCAGGAATTCTTCCAAATTTCCACATGATGCTGAAAATTCTTCCCAATTTGCAACAGAGTTCCCTCCTGACGCTGAAACTCCGCCCAAATGAAGCCGGAGTTCTCTTTTGCCACCAACAAACGTCATACTTCTACCCGACATCGAACCTTCACTCTTCGCCAAGTTTCTACCCGGCGCCGGACTTCTATCGGTTATCAGACTTCGCTGGACGTCTATGCGAAGATGGATTTATTTCCATTGTTGGACTTCTACCTGACGCTGTCCTTCTGATCTTCGTCGTCAGACTACAGCCCTTCTGACCTCCGTCGCCAACCGACTATGGTCCTCCTAACTTACATCGCCCGCCGACTACAGTCTTTCCGACATCCGTCGCCCATCGACTACGGTCCTCCTGACTTATGTCGCCCGGCTACTACAGTCTGTCCGACCTTCGTCGCCCGCCGACTACGGTCCTCCTGACTTACGTCGCCCGCTGACTACAGTCCTTCTGACTTCCGTCGCCAGCCGACTACGGTCCTCCTGACTTACGTCGCCTGCCGACTACAGTCTTTCCGACATCCATAGCCCGTCAACTACGATCCTCCTGACTTAAGTCGCCCGCCGACTACAGTCTTTCTGACCTCCGTCGCCTGCCAACTACGGTCCTCCTGACTTACGTCGCCCGCTGACTACAGTCCTTCCGACCTCCGTCGCCACCTGTCTACGGCCCTCCTGACCTCCGTCGCCCGCCGACTACAATCCTTCCAACAAAGCGAATATGTCAATAGTAGCTCTTTGTATTTACATCATGTAATGTACTCTATAAGATGTACATCAAGCTAAGGCCTTCTCCCAAGGAAGGGCCTCATTTGTAATCGACTGCAAATACTAGTGGATTCGTTCAAACTGGGCTAGGCCCGTGGTTTTTCCCCATTTTTTCAGGGGTTTTCCACGTAAAAATCTTGGTGTCTCATAAATGCTAGACCCTCTCTCTTATCTGATTGTGTGCCGGATTTTCGTACAATGCTAAGATGATAAACTTTATATTTCTCTGCCGCCGCGAATACTCCTAGACACAACAAAAAGTATTGTAATCTTGCACATGCCATCGAAGGTGATTAAAATCGACGGACTAAGGATGAAATGTTGTGAGATGTTACTCGAACACTAACAATTTACAAAAAAAAAACTTTGACATTGCATCCATAACTTTATAAATACCTAGAATTGACAATAATATTGTCAGGATTATTGAACAAGTGAAAAGAGGAAAAATCGACAAGAGTTTCAGGCTTCGTTTGATTAGAAATTTTTTGTGCTTATTCAGTTTTGAAACGACGAATTCTATTATTTATTGTTTGGTTCGTCAAATCAAGTTCCCAATAACTCAATTTGTTTCATTTTTCTGATGTTTTGAGAAAGCTTTTTAAATATGTTTCTCCGATAGAAAACTCCATTTTCTGAACTAATGTTTCTTAAAAATGCCTTTTACAAAAGTACCAAAAATCAAACAAAGCCTCAATACACAACATTACATAAATATAGCATGTTCGCAAAAAAAAAAAACATCATTGTGTCCAAAACATTCAAAATATTTAAAAATGACTACCATATTTTATGGGTAATTCAACGAGCAAAATTGGCATGAATTTCAAAATGATGATGCACAAAATTGTCCAAATTACATACCCATTACGAAGCGGAGTTCACCATTGCACTCATAATATCAAAATTATCCAAGGAATAATCGTTCACGATAGATTTGAGTGAAGAGGATTGAAATTGATAGAAGATGGACAAAATATCATGTGACATTACCCAAATGATGTTCGTTCACTAAACAAACTTTACCGTTTAGTCAAGAACATCAAAATTGCCTAGGAATGACTATATTAAAATCTACTATCTCCTGCCAAAAAGCCTGCTCAAATCCTCGAACAGCTCCTTATCCATCCTCAAATTCATGGAACAAATCTGCCCCTATGCTTATCTGAGCCACCCAGCTCAAGTAAAAAAGAGAGAAACTATATCTTATATTATCTCCCTCTCACATGTCCCCCTCTCATTCACACACTGCATCTCCCCCTCACGTAAGAGCAATCCACACCAGTTGCTCCCTCACTAATATCCTCTTCATTCTTTAGTAGCAGATCGAACCCCACTCCTCCCTCAAAGCAATGAATTCAACTCTTCTACAATTTTCCTCTCACAACAGCAGCAGCAAACATGCATCTCCACGACAGCTCTACCAAATATCAGCCCAAGTCACAATCTTCACACTCTCTCCCCTCTTCTCTCCTAACTGAACTCACCCAACTCCCTCCTCTGTTTCACGCAGAGAAGCCCACATCTCTCGTTCTCTGCTCTAGCTGTACCTCACAACCCATCTACTCCTTACGTCCTTATGGCTCTTAGTCAAATGCAACCTCCTAGATCCACACTCCAGTTTACATATATAAAGACCTTCTCCTCTCCCCTACTATAGCAAACGTACTCTCCCCCATCAAACTGAATGTCACTCATAACATTTTCCCTACACCTCTTCAACTACAACAGCCCACTCCAACCAGCTGCTGGCTCCTCAATAAATCACCCATTTCACAAACTTATGCACCCAACAAGCCAAATCAAACCAACCCCCTTCGTAGTAAAAACAACCCCAACAACTCCTCTGCTCCAACTACATGATTTCTCTTCCTATTAACCCAACACTTCTCCCTCTACATACATTTTCCAACAGCCCAACCACCTCTTCCACTCATGCTTCCTATAGAGCCTCTCCAAACAACCCTATAACCTTCAACCTCCAACTCCCTATATAGCAAGCCTACTAGTTCTCCTCATCACTCCCCAACAATCACCTTTCTTCCATCCTTCATCACTCACCTAGCTAGCAAGTAAAACACCTAAACCTGCAACCCAAACACAACCTATAACGACTCATTTGATCAAGACCAAAAAACCAACACAACTCCCTCACTTTTCCACCAAAACTCCCTCCAACCACCAAACCATTTTCACTCCTCTTTCTAAACAAAGAATTTATTTCCTTTCTCCATCTATCATTAGCCATGTAAAATAGAAGGAGAAAGGAGTGTCTGATTCGAACTCTCACCATTTCACCATCATCGTCGGCCCTCGCTCGTCAAGGCTTAATGCTCACTAAATCTTAAAACTTAAATCTTGTTGGCAAAGTTTACGAAGCAACATGTAACCTCTGACACGTCCTTTTTGGAGCACATTAAAAGGAAGTTTGAAGTTGACATTAGCGGTGAAGCAAATAGGTATTGTACGTGTTTTTCACAGCGTGACGGAATTTTCCTAAGTACCCGTGTACTTGCTTCTATGACTATGAGAAAATTTGTGAATTTTCATGCATGTATCTCTAAAACCCATACATATTTTTCGTAGCATAATCCCAAAATCCCCCCATGCCGAGGAGATGCAGAGAGATTGCCAAAATTTTATCTAAACTATTATCGGACTTGGAAAATTATAAATGACATGCACAGTTAAAAATAATGCAATAAAAATAAAGACTTAAATAAACTTACATGGAACCAAACCTAAATGCACATTTAAGTTAAATTTATAACTAAATATAATTCATAAGGTTAAGCAGGAAAATTTTCTTACAGGCTTTAAAAAAACCTTGACCCTTTTATTTCTTCTACAAAAATACCCTCAAATTAAGTTGTGTATCAAATTCAGGTGCAAATCGTAGAAAAAGAAGTTCAGTCAGTTTGTTTGGTAGAACAACAAGGATCACTTGTTCACCCTCCCAAAATTAGAGATTGCTAGTGGCTAAGTAGAGTGGCCATCCAATCTAATTGCCAGTCCATAGTAGATGCAAAATACCAAATCCTATTATCCAAGGAACAATTAATTTCCTATGTAGAGAAGATAAATGGGAAGATCCGTGACAAATTAAATAAAAAGATTAGTCCATCTTTAATAATAAG